GAGTGGTTCAAGTATGTTAGTTTATGGGAAGAAAATTCAGAAGAAATTTAATAGAAAAAAAAATATCAATAGAATTTCTTTGACATAAAGCAAACGGAGTTCACTCCCAGTTCATCTTAATCCAATTTATGTTGATAGATTATCATGCAGAATTTTGAATTACAGAGAATTCTTCCTCAGAAAAATAAGGAGCGAGGAAGGATGCTTCAAGGACAATCTGGGATTCTGTGCAGGATAGTGTACCAATCCTTATAATTTAGAACAAACTGTTTATGTAAGATATTCTTGCTTTGAAATTCCTATGTGATTTTTAACAGCTGACTCACCCAGATATATATGAGACACTCAAAAATGTGTTTATGAAGCAGCGTACTTTGCTCTTTTGTTGCAATATCCTTTGTGTACTATGTAAGAAAAAATATTATTAAAAATAAAAGTGGAACCAAGCTATGTGTCTTGTTGAAAAAAATGTATGAGATTGTAAAACTCCTAGATTTGAAAAGCAGCAGTTGTCAGCACTGCAGAAGTCACAGCATGCAATAAGAGAACAAATATACAATTTCACAATTTTCCCTCAATCAGCAAGAGAAAAGATAGCTTTAGGCACTAGGAAAAAATCACTGGCCAGAAAAGTAACAGGCAAGTGTGAAAGTCACAGAATGCAGCACAGAGGCACTAACAAATCAACAGCTTGAAATCAGAAGGAAAAAAATGTTTTCACAGTATGGAGATTAATTTGAATTCCTTATGTTTGCAGATAGCTTTGTTAAATGCATAGCTGCAAAGGCAAAATGAAAAGTTGGTCATTCTAATAGGAACATGAAGCATGTGAGGTTTTTTTCTATTTATGTACCATTTCAATTTATGTTGTTTTTTATTTATTTCTCCTTGTGCTAGTAACTTATTTAATTATCCTGTTGGGCAAAAACTTAGGAAATGAATTAATTAATGGAAATAAATGCATAAAGCACAAATTTGTGCATTCCCAACTTCAGTAGATTTACTTTCATCTAATCTGCCTAGGACTCAAATCTGGAGGTAAACAAAGTCTAAGGCACCAGCTTCAAAATACACAATGAGAGGTTATAGTATTGAAATTTAGGCTAGCTAAACTCTTACTGGCTTTTTCTGGCATCTCTAGCCAGGTAGAGTCCAAAGATTTTAAGAGGAGAAATAAGTAGCTAGTTATCCTCCATCCAGTAACTTTATAATTGGCTTGGATCTTATCCTGGGAATGAGGATTAGAGTTTAGCTTGGAGACTAATAAGCAATGGATAAGAGCAGATAATAGGCAAGTTTCCAGAATTGTACTAGGGAAATTATTTTTTTCCTTTGGCATAATAAGGGAGGAAATCTGCATGTGTACTAATAAAGACATTTTAAAACTACAGGTAGTCCTCATTTGTATTAATTGGGATAGGAAAATGTTGTTAAGCAACACAGTTGAAAAACCATGTAACCCTACCGCTTAGCAACAGCAGTTGTGGTAGTCCCAGTTGCTGTTGTTAAGCAAGGACCTCATGTGAATGCAGTTTCCAACTTCTTGCTGGCTTCCCCATTAAGTTTCCAATAGGCAGAGAAAATCCACATCATGAGCAGGTAATCATAGGAAACTGCAACAGTTGTAAGCACAAGATCAGGGGTAGGCAACCTTGGCTCTTTTATAACCCATGGAGTTGCCTATCCCTGCACAAGGTCATGTTATAATTGTCACTCATTCTGCGCTGTTGTAAATTCACACAGTCGCTGAATGAGTGATCATTAAACAACGACCACCTATATGGAAAGATTCCAGAAATGCAGTTCTGTGATACATTTACTCAGTACAGGTAGTCCTTGATTTACAATAGTTCATTTAGTGACCATTCAAAATTACAAGGTACTGAAAAAAGTGACTTTATACCATTTTTCAAACTTATGACTATTGCAGCATCGCCATGGTCATGTGATCAAAGCTCGGATGCTTGGCAACTGACTCATATTTATGACAGTGACTTATGACCATTTTTCACACTTATGACCATTGCAGAATTTCCAAAGTCACATGATCAAAACTTGGACACTTGGCAACTGGCATGTATTTATGATGGTTGCAGTGTCCCAGGGTTGTGTGATCACTTTTTGTCACCTTCTTACAAAAGCAAAGTCAATGGGGAAGTCAAATTGACTTAACAATCACGTTACTAACTTAACAACTGCAGGGATTCACTTAACAACTTAGGCAAGAAAGGTAAAATGGGGCAAAATTCATTTAACAAATGTTTCGCTCAATTTTGGGCTCAATTGTGCCCCCCAAAATGCTGGGCTCAATTGTGGTCATAAGTCGATGACTACCTATATCCTTGAATTCTTTGTGTTTTCTTATTATCAGGACATGATGCATCCAGAGTTTGTAAATAAAAAATTGGAATAAGATATTTATTTGTAAGCAATGTTTAGTCAAGCCAGTAATCTCTTTATTGGCAAATAAAGATCTATACGCCTTTGAGGAAGCATTGTCACTGGAGTGTACTTTCTTCAAGTGTACTTCCTTTCATTCCCCCAACTTTCCATAAACAAATAGATAGAACATGGAGTAAGTGTTTTTTGCTTTGTCCTTTTGGAGCTTTCATGTGATAGGCTTTCCTTAATGTTCTTTGGTTGAAACTGATGGTTTCTGTCAGTAGGCTGTTCATCCAAAACTGTACCAGGGTTCTTTTTTTAAAAAAAACAAAACAAAAATCTCTTATTGGTGGAGGAGAGCAAATTACTTTCTCCCTCTTAAAAATAAAATTAAGCCTATTTTAAGCACACACTTAAGTTTTTAATACATTCTCTGCCTTACATTTTGTAAAGAGTCTTTCAGGAAGAAACAAGCCACTGAGAGGACTTCTACCACCTTCTTCAAATATGTTTTTCAATTTCTAGCCTAACTACATTAGCTGCTTTGGGATTTCCCATCTAAATACTAAACAAGTTCAACTCTTCAGTTTGAATTGAAATTCAGTGGTGAAGTTAAGAGGGAATTCCAAGGGCTGGAGAAACTGGGAGGGTCTTGGAGACTGTAGTGTATTTGTGCCTCTTTAACATATTTGTCTGACAAGTATATCTGCACCTTCTTTGCTAAAAACAGTAGCTAGATATTTAAACATAGAACGAGAGGGGCCAGCTCTAAATTGAATAAATTAAAAGCTGAAATATTAAAAAGGTAATAGATCTTAGTTACTGGTGGCCTCATGGAATCAGTGTTTATTTATTTATTTATTTGGCAGAATAGAATGGGTTTGGAATGCTTTCTTCCAGAGTATTTTTTTTTTTTTACATTTCTAATAAAGAACCATTAAACAGCCATGACAAAGTGAAAAGTCATCATAGGAGCTTCAAGGCATGCATGTAATACATTCAAACATGCATAACTAAATCCAAATAAATCTTATACATGGCTAAGTGTCTTGTTCCCTCCCAGATTTTATAGTTTGTAAATTGTGGTTTTTTGCTAACTTTGAATCTAGTGACTACTTACTTACTTGATTACAATAGGCTTAGATTGACATGTGAACCAGATCATAGTGTTAAAGCTGCTGCCATGATTGTATGAACTAGACAACCTATATATAATTGCTTACTCATGGTTAACCAAAGTGTTGTTTACTCAATAAACACAACTCTCTGGGTTCATATGACATTAAACCAAAAGCACTCAGGTTCATTTTGCACAATAAAAAGGGCTAAAATGTATTTAGCTATTTGGTGTGTCAGGATGTTGTACAAACATTACAATACATTTCATTCAAGAAATCCATTTTTTTGTTGCATTTTTCCTTGAAATGTTCAATCAAGAACTGTGAAAATTCTGAGCTCAATTGTTTTGCTCAATTTTTAATGAAGAGGCGTTTCAAAATCTCTCTTCAGGCTGTTTTAAACACTGAAAAGAATATTAACATTTTATAAATAAAAATAGAACAAAAAGTTTCAGAAATCTAGTGCCCTAGAAGTGAAGTGATAAATATAATAACCTAGTATCTGGAGGCTATGTGGTCTGGATAGTAAGGAACACATTCAGACTCAGTCCTGACAAGATTCTATTGCTATGGTTATTTGAGCCTCTGAGGTCTGAGGCATTTTCACCTTTGGTCCTGATGGGTTTGCACTTCCCCATTTGAGACCAGTGCACACTTTGGGGGAGTCCTCCTGGACTCATAGGAACTGATTAAAAAGCAGGTGGTAGTTATGACCAGGAGGGTTTTGCACAATTTGATTTTGTGTAACAATTGCATCCCTTCCTGGACCTGAAAGCACTATTCACAGTCACCCATGCATTGATTCAGTACATTAATGGCACAATGTGATACTCATTTCTGACTCACTCAAGATCTTCCAAACAATTTATGAAAAGGCTCCAGTGTGTCAGCTCATGTATCCCTTGTGACAATTGGAGTTTGAGTTCTCTGCTTTAAAAAATGTATCTAAAAATTACGCAGATTTCATTTGTTCTATCTCAGTGCTAAGGAGCTTTAAAAAACCCTGCCTTGGTTGAAAATTCTTTGGAGATTTTCAGTCATCTAGGTCATAGTTGTTTCAAAGGTGCTTTTTCAAAAGGCAACTGGACTGTTTTTTTTCTTTGAGGAAGGAGAAGATAATGTTTCGTTTCTCATCCAAGAAGCTTCATCAGTTGTGATGGTGGGGGATGGGATGATAGGTACCTGCCTTGGTGAATTTTCTTCTTCTGGTCAGCTAATATACAATACGGCACATCAAAGTAGAGAAACTATTTGTTCTGAGAACTAAAAGAGAAAAATATGATTAGGGAAGGCAATCCCAAATTACACTTTGAAACCACTGTTTGTTGTTGGTTTTAAAAGCCTAGCTTAATTGTCATTTGTTCTTATGCTTGCCTCTGGAATCCTGGCTTATTGTTTTGCCAGGAACAATGGAGGAAAAGTGCAACCTTTGGTTGAACAAGCTGGCATTATTTTGCTTTTCTTGAGGTAACAAAGTTTCAAATTCTGTTTTTTCTGTAGATGCTGTGAATGCCTAAGATGTTGTGGAAGAAGAGACCCCAGGCCTCGAACCGTCTGGCTTGGCCATCCAGAAAAAAGGGATCAGAGATATCCACGCAATGTCGTCAACAACCAGAAGTACAACTTCTTTACTTTTCTACCAGGAGTAAGTATGATCCTAGGCATTGCTTAGAATTTACAACAAATCAGAACAGCATGTGTGGCATGGTTTTGTGCAAATTGACATGATTAAGTCATTGGCACCAGTCACATGACACCTCTGATGCAAATCAGGTAATCATGCTATTTGCGTGACGATGTCATGAACTATGTGATCTCATTCCCCCCCCCGGATGTTTTTGTGTAGGACGGGTGTCAAAATCACAATGTCACATGACGTGTCGCAACATATCGTGACTTTTTTGCCATTGCCAGCAATAGGGTGGGCACAGTTTTGCTATGATGCATCCGGCCCATGGGCTGGCAATTTGACACCCCTGGTGTAGGATATCCAACAAATCAAAACAGAAGTGGTTTCTTTTTTAAAGAATCTTCCATTTTTTTCAGGAGAGGAATTATTCAGTTATTTCTTATGAACAGGAATTCCCCCATCCCCAATTATTATAATAGCACCATCACTGCAAAAGTTTTATGACAAGAGTTCCCTCGTGAGATTTTCCTCAGGATTAAATCCTGCTAAATGAAGGCAAGGATGCCTCACCCAGTGAGCAGTTGTCTTAAATCACCTAATTTGGAATAAATTTCTAAAGTAAATTAACTCTCATCTAATGTGTCTTCCCAGTAGTAGTGCAAAAGTACATTTAGAATGAGGATTAAAGATTACTGGAATGAATCAAACTGCTACAGGCAGTCTTTGACTTATAAACATTCATTTAATGCAGGGGTCTCCAAACTTGGCCTTTTTATGACTTGTGGATTTCAACTCCCAGAATTCTGGGAGTTGAAGTCCACAAGTCATAAAAGGGCCAAGTTTGAAAACCCCCATTTAGTGAGTGTTGAAATTTACAGAAGCACTTAATAAAGTGATTTATAGCCAGTCTTTGCAGTTCTGACCATTGCACTACCCCCCATGGTCACATGATTCAAATTCAGGCATTTGGCACCTGGCATATATTTATGTCAATTGCAGCCCCCCCCAGGTCACATGATCACCATTTGCTATCTTTCCAGCTGGTTTCCAACTAGCAAAAGTCTGATTCACTTAACTGCATGATTCACTTAACAACTGCAGTTGTTAACATCTGTGGCAAAAAAGGTCATAAAATCAGACACAAGTTACTTAACTACTTTGCTTAACAACGGAAATTTTGGTTCCAATTGTGGCTATAAATTGAGGACTACCTGTATTCTGTCTGGATGAAAGTATTTGGTGTGTGTGTGTATTTTTATACATCAGTAAAGTTTTACTGTCTAACTTTTTTCCTTTTTAGAATCTTCTCAGATTAACATGTTTTTATGGATTGCTACTCTTAATGCTGGATGAGATCCTTCCAATATTTCCTTGTCACTTACCTGATCTTCTCCCCCCTCTGCTTCTAGGTCCTGTTCAACCAATTCAAATATTTCTTCAATCTCTACTTTTTATTTCTTGCCTGTTCTCAATTTGTTCCTGAAATGAGGCTTGGTGCACTTTACACGTATTGGGTTCCACTGGTAGGTAATATCAGGTTTATTTATCCAAGAAAAGTTTCAGTGTTTGAATACAAGATGTCCTTTGTTAACCTTATCTCTGAGATCCAAGTAATGCTGAAATTTAAAATGGTTTTTGTTAGCTTGTTTTATGAAGCCTGCCCTTTATGTCTTTGGGAATTGTAGATGGTCTAACTTTTTAAATTGATTTAATAAAGGTTCACCATTTGGAAATAAAACCTTGAGTGGTACAGGAAAATGAAATATACAGGCAGACACTTGATCCAGGGGAGTAATTTATCCCATCACTCAATCATTCCAAGAGTTCAGTTAAAGAGATTCTCCTGGGTTAACTATCTTAAAAAATAAGTTGTCATGGAAGCATTTTTGTAATTGTCTTTGGAGCAATTGACTAAACGCTGAACAAATACTCACAAAGTAGATAGTCTTTTGGTTTGTTTGTTTTTATTTTTCTAGATCCTTCCAAAGGTTAAACTATATAAACTATATATTGACCAATTTGGAAGTTAAGGAGGAACATGCTGACCTGCATAATTCCAACTGGTTTTGCTTGTTCTTCTCACCAGCAGTCTGTGTCTAACAAACCAGATGGTTTAATTGTTTGTTTAATACAAGGAAGTGCTATGGTGTTGTTTTTTTTTTTTGTTTGGTTTTTTTGCATCAGCAGCTACACTTGGGTTTTGAACAATGTGTGTTCCCAAAGACAAAGTTGGTGGGGGCAGAAGTAAAGCTAAATTTCATTTCACTTGATTTAAATATATGTTGCAGTAATTCAAATATGGTTTAGATGTGTTTTCTTATTGGCTCAACTAATTGTCAGAAGAAAAGTATGATTAGAAGAGTTGGATTAAAAGTAGGAGAACACCAAAAATGTAATAAAGTTAATAAAATGATAAATAATAAAAGTCCAATTATGTGTTTAACAGATTCTGTCACATTAAGAATTATAATGGCTAATACTTTTTAGAGATTTCCAGAAGCCACACAAGATTATTAGTTGGGCAGCTGTGATTTAGTATACCTTTAGGGATTTTAATTTCTTTCAATTACACCTCTCACAACAAACAACAATTTAGCAAATCAGGGCTTATAGTGTGATTGGATAATATTTTTTACTTTAAGATAGCAAATGGAACACCAAATTTTCCCTTCCTCCCAAATTAGATCTATATTTATTTTCATGGGCAAAAACAACTGTAGGGTTGGTGTGGGATTTCAGATGTAGAAAGCAACAGAGAGGAATAGGTTAAATTTGCCCTTCTCTTCTCCCCATTCCCAGTTGTAGTTATTCTGATTAAGCCTTTGTTTGCTCTGAAAAGAAAAAAAGTATTGAGAAATAGCTATCTTCAATGGCTAGGCTTAAATTCAGAATTTAACAAAGCAAGCCACTTTGTAATGTAGCCTGAGAACTAGAAACTTTCCCCTCTTTTAATTACCCTCTTGCATTCTTAATATGCTTTCATTTTATATGGTATGAAATACACATCTGGCTGCACTACTGTATAGTGTTTGTTGTAGGGAGCTTTAGAAATTAGTTTATACTTTTTTTTAAACAAGGCTTGCTTCAAACATTAGCTCATTGTAATTTGTTCAGATCACACGAACCATTAAAATTCAGAATGTGAGCTGCCAGAGTTATAAATAATAGACTTTTTGTTCGTTGTAGACTGCTGAAACAGCCGTTTTGGAGTCAAATAACAATTTGAGAGGAATCAGTGAGGCAGAATAAATGGGACAGTTTTAATGATTATTTGGGACTCCAATCTTTAAACGGACAGATATTTTTTTCCTGTATAGTACACATAAATCTTATAAACTGGATTTTGAGGTAGTATTTTAGAGTAATAATTAATATATGTTGTAAGCACCAAATTAAAATGATATCATAATGGGAGTAAAATAGTATGATAATTGAATGCTATTTATCTACTAAGAAGAAAGGCTCATATTATTGGGACTTGCTGTCAGGTATTTCAGTAAGTATTTATCCGGGTTTATTTTTAACTGAGGGAACAACATTACTGCAAATCAGGGCTTGTGATGATATGATTGGATAATTCAAGGCTGCTATTTTTTACTTTAAAATAGCAAATGGAACACCAGATTTTCCCCATCCTCCCAAAGTAGATCCAAAGTAGATTCCAATAGGGCTAAAATCAGATTTGGGGAGGAGAAACTTGAGTGAATTAAATAGCAATAGCACTTAAACTTGTAAACCGCTTCACAGTGCTTTACAGCCATCTCTAAGAGGTTTACAGAGTCAGTGTATTGCCCCCAACAATCTGGGTCCTTATTTTACCGACCTCAGAAGGATGGAAGGCAGAGTCAACCTTGAGCAGTGAATTAGCCAGCAGTACTGCATGCTAACCACTTGGCCACCATGGCATATACAATACAATACTCTCTAAAAATACAATAAATAAAATACAGGATTTGAGTTAGATAAAAGTAAAAAGGGTTGTTTTATTTCTCCAAAAGATATTACCATTCTTTCAAATAAAACTTAATAACCCTGAATTCCTTTGGGCTTGCTTTATACAGTATACTAATGATTTCCAAATTTGGGAGAGCTGGAATCAGTCCCCTGTATCATTTGCATCTCTTTGTAAAGTAATGTCAAGCCTTGAAGGCATATAGTAATGTGATTCTGAATTAATGTTCATGGAAGCTATGCAAAGGAGTAGAAGATTGCTGGAAATTAGTACTAGCAGATTGATTTCCTTTGGACAGCTTAATTACATTTACAAAACAAATTATTTCCTTTTCATGATTCAGGTAAGAAGAATCTACATCAAGAATGTTCTTACACAGATATACAATCCCAATCTGGGAACATATTTTTAAATATTTAAAGTATGTCTTAAAAAGAGAGAAAAAAAACTATGAAAGAAAATGATTTCATACTGAGAAGTTGAATTTTAGTTAAGGATATTTCTGCCCTCTTCCTCTTCAAAAGAATAAATCCTGTAATCTCACTCACTTAGAAGGAAGTCCTGTATGTTCAGTGAAGAATATTTCTAAGAACAGCACTATAAAATAGTTGCATGGAATAGAGGTTCATTAGCTTCCAGCTTTTTGCTCAAGAATACACATGTGTTGCATTTAAATGAAAAAATACATAAATCACTATTAATGGGTGTCTTTAAAAAAAACAGATTGCTAGTAACAAGTATCTAAAACATTATTTTGATGAGCAGGATTGTGATAGTTTGCAAGCACTAAGCAAGGTAATGGTATAATTTATCAGAATTAGGTAAGCCTGGTTATGTAGCTACCCAAAACAGCTTTGAGTAGTAAGATATATGGCATATAAATTTAATAAATAAATATATTTCTTCCTAGGAATATCAGTTGTTGGGATCACAAATGAAAAGATATTTTCTTCTTACTGAATGTGTTTTATTTGTCTTGTTTAAATTGTTCATATCTGAATATTTTAAAAATAAATATTATAGAAATATTTGAAAATACAATAAGTACAATATCTATGGAGTTCCCAGAGTCATTGGTTTGACTATTGGCATGAACACAATGGTGAAATGGATACAACCTTGGTTTGATCCAAAAGTATTTGTATTATCTAGAAAGTAAAAGGAAAGGCCATCTCAGAAATATTGTAGCAACATAGAAGTTGAATATTTGCAGCTTGAACCTTGTAGCAATGTGGCTTTAGTAGTGTTTTGTACTACCTGTGCTTACTTCTACTTGTTATATCTAGTCATGTAACAAAGAATACATACTAACAGAGTTGGAAGGGACCTTGGACATCTTCTAGTCCAGGGGTTCTCAACCTTGGCAACTTTAAGCTTTGCTGGCTGAGGAATTCTGGGAGTTGAAGTCCACAAGTCTTAAAGTTGCCAAGGTTGAGAACCCCTGTTCTAGTCCAACCCTATCCTCAAACAGCAGCCCCTATACCATTTCAGACAAATGGCTGTCCAATCTCTTCTTGAAAACCTCGTGATTGAGCAACTCACAATTTTTGGAGACAAGCCATTCCACTGATTAATTGTTCTCACTGACAGGAAATTTCTGCTTAATTCTAAGTTGGATCTCTCTTTGAGAAGCTTCCGTCCAGTGTTTTTTGTCCTGCCCTCAGGTGTTTTGGAGAATAGGTCGACCCTTTCTTCTCTGTGACAACCCCTCAGATATTGGAAGATTGCTATCATGTCACTCCTAGTCCCCCTACCTATACCTAGTTCCGTCAGTCATATATCATATGCTTTTTATCATATTATATAACATTATCTAACATCATAAAATGTTAGTCTCTTCTGAAAAAAAATTCATTTCTTCTGAAATGGTTTCTTCTGAAATAGAAATTTTAACTGAACATTTCTGATTCTATGTTGTGATTATCCACTAACTTCCCAGGTCTTCAGACAAGTTCTTTGGATTTAATCTCTTTTCTTTGACTAATCCTCCACCATTTCTTTTTCTGCCTCTTTAGGGCTTTGTGCTTACTGTTACCATCATCCGTGAGGCTGTGGAAGAGATCCGATGCTACATGCGTGATAGGGAAGTGAATTCTCAGGTTTACAGCAAGCTCACAGCAAGAGGTCAGGAAATTGGCTCCAGCTTTCTGTCTGTTTGCAACTCTGTCAAAAGATAATGATAATCAAAAGGCAATTTTGAGAAGAAGGGGTTGACCGGTGAAGGGGAAGATGTCAAATATATGGATAGAACTTTTAATTGTCCCTTTGGTGACTTGGGCCAAAGCAGAACTTTATAGTGTCCTGTTGAAAGAGTGCTTTGCTCTAACAAAACCTTCCTGCTAATGATTATTTTTTTTCAAGGCAAATTTATAATATATATAAAATTTGTAATTATTTGAAGATCTGGAAAATAAAAAAAAAAATGCTACCATTTGCACATAATGATAGGCCATGGTTTAGTAGCCTGAAATTTAAGTTGCTAAGTTTTTGGAAGCAGAAACTCCCTAAACAAATGTCATTATGGTTTAATTCAGTATGTGAATCATAAATTATGGTTCGTGGCTTATTTTCTTGTACAAAGTTTAGTTGTACAACTATTGTTTAGTTGCTCAATTCCTTACAACTGGAATTGAGCAACTAAACAATAATGATAACCATAAACATAATTATGGTACAGTGTGATATATGAATTCACTTGTTAACTGATTTCAGATATTCAAATATTAAGTAAATATTACTGTAAACAGTAAACAATAATATTAGGGCTCAAACTACAGGTAGTGTGAGCCCTAATAGTGTGGTTCATCAGCCAGCATGTATGTCAGTAGTGTATAATAATTAGTCAACAAATCATGGATGAATATACTTATTGTGAAACTACCCACTATCTTTGTATCTTTATTTGTTTGGAGGATACAATGGGGAGGCAGGCATCCATATGTAAAGCAATGTAGACAAAGGTAATAAATGGATAGGGGATAACAAAATATGCATATGAAAAGGCACTCTTAATTAAAACAGGCTTTTCTTCTCTTTCTTTGCTAAGAACTGAGAAGAGAAAACAACAAGGCAAAAATAATCTTTGCTGTGAAAAACTTTGCTCTGAATCTGTTGTACTTTTAAATTTCATAGTGGACATTCACATTTGCTCTTTTTTAAAATTGTATTTGCTTTCTGGGATACTGAAAATATATTTTGGGGGGAGGAAAAGATAATTCTATATTTATCAGATGCAATTTCGTCGAATATGTATCTTTTGGCCCAGTTTTGTCCTTAAATTTGCAAATGCTGGATTTGATATCTTTTCTAGGTTTTTGTTTTAAGAGTTTTGTTTTCTTGCTTTCCTCTCTCTACAATTCATGAACACAAAGCATAGTAAACCAGACCACCATTTTTTTTTAAAAAGTTCTATGAAAAGCAAAGAGACCCCCTACCAAGAGAGCATTGCTTTGATATAGATCATTGGCATTTACCAGCTGTATCAAAAACCAATATTTTCTCAAACCTTTTGTGCTCTGTTTTGCAAGTCATGATGTGTAAGGTCTCCTAAAAGCCAAATGTTTCTTGGAAGAATGGGGAGACTATTTTTAATTTGTGTCTACATTTTGTTGATCTTTTGCTTTGGCTTTCTGCTTCAAATTTAAAGGCATGCAGGTCATTTGTACTGTTCATAGCTGCATAAAACTACTCTACAGTGTTTTAAAAATGAGGTATTGTCCTTTGCTAATACTTGTTGAGTTTTTAGCATCAAGGACTATACCAGCCATGGAAGGATGCCAAATAATTCCCTCAGAATTGTATTGCGAGAAGGTTGTCACTGAGAATGCTCAGTGATGTCTTGTGAAGAATTATACATTTTTGAAGAATTTTAAAGCAGTATTTGTTTTGTCTTCAGGCACAGTGAAGGTGAAAAGTTCTAATATTCAAGTGGGAGACCTTATCATTGTGGAAAAGGTATGGCTGGATTTAAAAAATGGGAATATTTTCCTCAGTACTCTTATAACACTAACAGAGCAATTGGCATTTAGGAGATGATGATGATGATGATGATGATATCCATTCAGTAAGGTTCTACATTTAGTCAAGAAAAACCAAATGCACAGGTATAGTATAGGTGGTACCTTGCTCAATAGTAGTAACTGTGAGAGGGATCTCGGAGTCCTAGTGGACAATCACTTAAATATGAGCCAGCAGTGTGCTGCAGCTGCCAAAAAAGCCAACACAGTACTAGGCTGCATTAACAGAGGGATAGAATCAAGATCACATGAAGTGTTAATACCACTTTATAATGCCTTGGTAAGGCCACACTTGGAATACTGCATCCAGTTTTGGTCACCGTGATGTAAAAAAGATGTTGAAACTCTAGAAAAAGTGCAGAGAAGAGCAACAAAGATGATTAGGGGACTGGAGGCTAAAGCATACAGTATAAGGAACAGCTGCTGGAATTGGGTATGTCTAGTTTAACAAAGAGAAGGATGAGGGGGGACATGATAGCAGTGTTCCAATATCTCAGGGGCTGCCACAAAGAAGAGGGAGTCAAGCTATTTTCCAAAGCGCCTGAAGGTAGGACAAGGAGCAATGGGTGGAAACTAACCAAAGAGAGAAGCAACCTAGAACTAAGGAGAAACTTCCTGACAGTTAGAACAATTAACCAGTGGAACAACCTGCCTCCAGAAGCGGTGAATGCGCCAACACTGGAAGTTTTTAAGAAGAAACTGGACATTGGTGGGCACCCTGTCCCAACCTACTTATTCTGTAGTAGAGTTATTACAATTGATATACCAATATGGACGGGTCTCGGGTTTTAAAATTAATAACAACAAGACTAATATATTACCCAAAAATATGACCAATTTGGATAAGCAGACTTTGGTCAAGTTGACAGATTTTGAGGTTGTTGATAAGGTAAAATATTTGGGGGTTACTTTATCTGTTTCTAATGTAAAATTGTACAAAAATAATTATGAAAGGTTGTGGGTCAGGATACAAAGAGACTTGAAAAATTGATAATACAAGACATTTGTGAGAGAGGCGGACTCAAGGTACCGAATTTGAAATTGTACTATGATGCGGTGGTCTTAACATTAATTAGTGATTGGGTTAATTTAACAAATGCAGAAATACTCCTCTTGGAGGGCTGGGATTTACTTTTTGGATGGCATGCCTATTTAATTTTTAATAAAAAAGTAGATAGGATTTTTAAATCTCATATTATAAGGATTTCTTTATTTCGGGTTTGGAGGAAATATTATAGAAGTGATTTTAAAATCCCATTATGGGCTATACCTTGGCATGCGATAGAGGGGATAAGGAGAGGAGTCAAGATGGATGGTGTTTCTTACGCACAATTACTTAGATGGGATGGTAAAAATTGGCAGTTAAAATCTTTGGAAGATCTAGCACAAGAAAATATTACATACTCATGGTTTCAGTATAGACAAATAGTGGATAGATGGAAGTTAGATCATAATGTGGGCTTAGAGAAGATGAAAATTTTCTTAAACAAGTAAAAGATCAAAGACGAACTCATATTAAGAGAATTTATGGGATGCTAGTAGAATTGGACTTAGAGGCAGAATTAATTAAAGAATGCATGATTAAATGGGCACAAAATTTTGGTGAACCAGTTCTACTAGATACCTGGGAAATTATTTGGGTGAGGAATGTCAAATTTACACAAGCCCAGAATTTAAGGGAGAATTTTTATAAAATGTTTTATAGATGGCACCTTGATCCACAAAAAATGTCTCGTATGTATCCTGACTTACAGCCCAAATGTTGGAGATGTGGTTGTTTGGATGCTACTTACTATCATATTTGGTGGTCGTGTAAAAATATAAAAGCCTTTTGGATTAAGATATGGTGGAATATTCAAAGAATTTTTAGAAGGGGGGTAAAATTTACCCCACAATTGTTTTTGTTAGGTATTGTTACTGATTGTGATACTAAAGAGATTACATTGATGTTAAATTTAATTACAGCCGCAAGGCTGTTAGTAGGGCAATGTTGGAAGAAGGAATCTTTGCCTACTTTGCAAGAATGGTTTTTTAAAGTTTCTTATTTGGCGGAGATGGCAAAAATTTCGGCTTTCTTGAAGGACCAATCGCAAGAGAAGTATTTTGCGGTATGGAAAAAATGGATAGATTTTATACAATGTAAGTTGGATATTAAAAAATATTATTTAGTTTTTCAATAACTTATATTTAAAATTTAAAACATCTTATAGACTTTATTCCTTTTTTATTTTATTTTTATTTTTTATTTTTATTATACTTTTTCTTACCTTTTTTCTTTTTTCCTTTTCTTTATTCTTTTTCCTCTCAAGTATTATTTTTTGGGTATTTATGTTTTTTCATATATATATCATTGTTAATTATCTTATAATTTGTTTAATTAATGTATTCAATATTTAGATTTATTCATGGTTTATATCTTTTTTAAAGATTTTTTGAGAAATTTCAATTAAGCCTATGTTCAGCTCTGGGAAGGCTGGGGGAGGGAATGGGAGGGTTGGGGAGGTTTGGGGATGGGTTGTTTTGTTTTTGTAAAATTTTAAAAATTTAATAAAAAAAAAAAAGAAGAAGAAACTGGACAACCATTTGTCCGAAATGGTACAGGGTTTCCTGCCTGAGCAGGGGGTTGGACTAGATGACCTCCAAGGTCCCTTCCAACTTTATCATCATCATCATTATCATCATCATCATCATTATTATTATTATTATTATTATTATTATTATTATTATTACTACTACTACTACTACTACTACTACTACTACTACTACTATGTCTGACTCTTGGTGATTCTGTGGGCCAAATCTCTCCATATCTGCCAATCGTGTACTACTTCTCTGAGTTATTCTGTGCTCTGGAAGGTGTCAGTTTTGATGGTGTAGCAATTCATAGTTAAAACACATTGAACAGCAGGTTTCTTCCATTTCATGCCTTTTGATATGTTCATTCAATAACCAGAATTTTAAGCCAACAAATCTGATGGGCACCAAATTGGGAAGGCTGCTTCATAATTGTATGCAAAGTAAAAATATATTGCTAGAACTACTAGATGGGGACTGCAAACATCTAGATGACCAGTACATGACAGCACAGTGCTTTATATACTTCCAGTCCTTTGCTGGTCTATTGTAATCAGCTGGATTTGCCACCCATATCTTACAGCCTTAATGCTTGCTTAGAAGTTCATTAGATTTTCAGGTAGGAATTTCCATTATTTGATCAGCTTTGGACCGAAGGTTGAAAGCCTGGTTTGGTTTTCAAAACCCTTTAGGTGTTTTTCCCTTTTCAGAAATGCAGGTGCTGACATTAATGCAAAAGGAAACTTTCTGAGGATATTACTGGAGCCGCTTACAAGGTAGAGAAGAATTAGGAGAGAACGTCATACTACAAAGATGAATTTGGCAGGAAGACCTTCTCCACAAAGAGCATTTTGTTATCATTAGACTTCTTGGCAGGTTGAAGATAACGTCTTCCCTGGCAATCTTCCTTTTTTTCTGTGCAAATTAATAGAGACACAGCAGGTTCCATTGGCTTATATGGATGAGAAAAAAGGTAGTTGCCCTGAAAACAGATGTAACAGTAAAGGGAAAACTACCTCCCTGATAAGGACATTTGGGGGCAGCAGAATCATTGCAATGGAAGGAAACGTCCCCAGATTAGCTATTTTCAAAAGAAAGGATTTTTTCTTTCTTTCCTGGATAATTGCTCAGACACATGTTTTCAAAGCAGTAGTTCCTGCTTATATTATCATCTTAAATGGAAGTGGTTCAGGGCAGCTGTCAAGGCCCCATAGTCTATGAAGTCTCCAAAATCTGTTTGGCTTTAGCAAAAGCCTGAAATCTTGCTAGTATCACACCTCAGTTCAGTATTCAGGTTTGATTTTTAGAAAATGCATCTATCTCTACTTCACTGGTCTTAAGAGCTTGCTCTTTTTTGGGCTTTGGCAATCATTCAGGATTTAATTATTTAAATTTTATACTTTTACTTTCATTGGTGACTGTACACAAATATCTAATGTAATAACCATTTTGATGTAAGAGAATAAATGGATATACTATAATGGCAAAATATTCCCTTTATTTCTATATCACTTAAATAATAAATAACAGAATAACAGAGTTGGAAGGGACCTTGGAAGTCATCTAGTCCAACCTCCTGCTCCAGCAGAAGTCCCTGTACCATTTAAATTTCTTTTTCTAAATTGTCTCTTTCTATTATGGGGTGACCTAGAAGAGACTGACACTGGACTTTGAAGTTATATACGTAATTGCTTGTGTAACACAGCTCTGTGAATTTAGTTTGGATGGAATCATCCAATCTCTATATAATACACAATAATTAGCCTATCTCAATGAGCTCCTTCACTTAATAATTGTTCTGCCCGAGTCATTGATTGAGATGGGTAGCTATAGAAATTGAATGAATGAAAAAATGCATCTTCTTAGTTGTATGTTCTATTTCCGGTCAAAATTATGGACCCAATATTCACTGACTGCCTTTCTTTTCCCAATGAAGAACCAACGGGTCCCTGCTGACATGATTTTCTTGAGGACATCAGAAAAAAACGGTAAACATCTGGAACCCATTGTGAAAATAACCATTAACCTTTTGCCAGTTATAGGGGACATAATAATCATTTTGAACATGTAACCTAAGCAGATACCATTTTAGACTTGGTGAGTCTGACCAACTCAAACACTCATTTTCAATAGCTCAGGCTTCCTTTTTATTTTATAATTGGTGATTTAAAAAAAAAACATAGAGCTTGTTTATCTTGCAGGACGTCCTGTTGTGTAAGGTCAAGCAGTGTGAAGGAAAGAGAGATTGATGTGGCATGCTGGCGGTAGCTTGGGCTTCACTGAGCTTCATATTAACTTCTCTTCTGAGATGTCTAGCCATTTGTTCAGGCAGCTGGCAAACTCTAGACTACCAAGGCTTGGTGTTTATGCAATCAGCAATTCTGAGGCTTCTTCATTATATTTATTTACTTCTACCTAAATTGAACTGTGGGGAAAGAAAAGCACAATTTGAAAACTACTTCGGAAAGTGAAGACAGTGGGATCCTGGCTGGGTGTGATAATATTTATCAAGGGAACAGCTGCCAGTAGCACTGTTGACTCAAGTGCAATCATATTATAGTCATGGTGGTCACAGTCAGATTGTTTGTAGGTCATACAGAGACTGTGACCCACATCAAAAGATGGTTTGGAAGCACAAATGGAGCTGCTCTCAACACTGGAATTATAGGATTATTATTTATCTTAATATTAGCCCCCCCCAAAAAAAGAATGATGTATAAAAGTAAATGGTAAAACCTCTATTTGCAACTTATCTACAGAGGTACTTCGGATTTGTGCAAAGTATCAGTACTTAGAGTCTACTTCATGGATGTTGTCCTTCCTGACATGAAGGTGATGAGATCTTCACTGCCACCTTACATGAAGTCCAACATGCAAGGAAGGGACAATATTGAGGAAGGCAGATCTGCTCTATTGGCTATTCTAATTTTTTCTCAGTGTGCTGTTTGCTATTTTTTTAAGGGGAGTCTCTCAGATCAATTAATTATAGGTAAAACACATCTCTGATCACTGAGTTATGATTCTTTCCCTACTGTATCATGTAGGCTAAACTTGTCCATAAAGAATTTGCTTTAAATGATGATATTTATATTTCCTATATATAGCATGGGGGGGAAATCTCATTAACTCAGATGAATATTTCTATAGGATCCTGCTTTCTCCGAACGGATCAGCTGGATGGTGAAACAGATTGGAAACTGCGTCTGCCTGTCAGCTGTACTCAGAGGTTACCTACTGCTTCTGTACGTAACAGAAACATTGTTTTAATTATACAACCTAACGTGCCATTAAAAACAAATCTCCCACTGATATATTTGCTTTTCACATCAATTTGTAGGCTATGTGCTGAATGAAATTTTGATGGTTTACTTGGGCATATTTTGGTCTCTTGTTTCTATAGGGGAGCTGTAGGGGAGCTTTTTGTGTGTGTTTTTTCTTTTAAATGTTATTATGATGAATTTTGCCCCCTTTCTGTCTCAAGTTCTCCTCTTCCTTTGTAGGACCTTCTTCAGATCAGGTCATATGTGTATGCAGAGGAGCCAAACATTGACATCCATAACTTTGTTGGGACATTCACAAGAGTAAGCACTGACTTGGTTGCTTAACAAAAGAAAAAAGTAAAATTGTCTCTTAGAAACGTCAGGAGAGGCTTTAAAGCTTATAAAACAATATTTGGAGATATTCTATATGTTCCATGTAGATTTTAGACCAAAGTAATGCTTCCTGTAATGAGCTTCATTTGGGATATGTGTTGGATGAATTATCTTTTCATAAGGAGGGATTTCGTTTTTGACAAAGAGAAGATTTACCACATAATCTCCCAGGTCTGTCCCAAGCATTATAGCTTGAAGCTTAAGAAAAAACAGTCAAGTTGGCCGCTAATGAAGTATTTCATAAAGCTCCAAGTTGTTTTGGAGAGTGCAATTTTTATAGCCGGAGAGTACACAGCTTTTAAGATAAAAATTATATCATTCCATAGATATTTGTAATTAATCTTACCAAAAATGATTGGAGACAAATAGCATAAAGTATAGTTTGGTCTTGTACTACAATCTTGTAAGAGGTAATAATAGAATTGGCACTGATTTTTTTTAAAACAGCACATCATCAAATATAATGTCCCATTTTGTAATCAATATAAAGATGGGTAATGGTTTAGGTGCCAAACCATTGCTTGTCTTAACCATGCTTATTAATAAGCCATAGTGGTCAGTACATCGGTAGCATTAGACCATTATGGGGAACATCTTGGTAAATCAAAAGCTTGATGTGTTACTTTAATATTATCTGGGAACCCAGCCATTGTAACTTATTCTACTACTTAAAACAAACCATGGTTTACAGAAGGATATTTAAAAGGGAGACATATAAGGGTTTGTTGAATTCAAAAAATGCTTTGATATTTAAAGTGCCAGGTCGATCACTAGTTTTGATTCAAAATTATGTATCATCCTGACAGTTATTTTAGTAGTTTGAGTTTTCCTAAACACTTCTTTTATTAATTTCAATTGACAAAAATGATATGTAATTTTGGATGGTTGAGGGGAGAGAAAGGCTGGAAGGAAGAGGACAGATTTCAGTGAATTGTTTGCCCTGAATCATAAAAGGATTCTTATCCCAAAGGTGCTTTTCAAAAGGCAAGTGGACTTTCTTGTGTTTTTTTTTCCCTTGAAGACTTTTCCTTCTCATCCAAGAAGCTTCTTCATTCTGAATGAATCAGTTCTTTCAGCCAGAACTGAAGAAGCTTCAGTTTGAGAAGCAAAACCTTTTCAAGGGAAAAAAAAAAAAAGAAAGTCCAGTTGCCTTTTGAAAAGCACGTTTGAAACAACCATGACCTGGATGGTTGAGAATCTCAATAGACAAAAGGGTTCTTAATATAATGTGTGAACAAAACTGTGGAGTTAAGATTGTTGATTTACCTAGTGCAGGGGTAGGCAACCTTCGTAAAAGAGCCAAGGGTGCCTACCCCTGATTCCTAGTGTGAACCTATCTTTTATAACTGGAATAAGCTATCTTCAGGTTCAAGCTAATATCACTGTTTTCCTTTCTTGCTTGACTTACCGTATATACCAGCGTATAAGATGACTTCCACAAGCGCTAAACTCGGCGCCAAAGACGGAGGTCGTCTTATACACCGGGTCACCTTGTACGCCGGCATATACGGTATTTAAAATGAGTTGCTCAGAAACAGCTACAACCACACAACAATTCCTGAACCTTTTAGATTTGAATGATAATCTGTGATGTAATCTGCAGGCTATTGAGCATACATCACCATAATATGTCAGGGTGTCCTGTTATCGAAAGCTGCAGTTCAACAGTTGCTTCTTGCAGCCTGCATCACTGAATGTCGTGACATATATCACACTCTAACATTGGCTTCACACCTGTGGTGACAGAGAAAGAACACTGAGGTCTTTCGGCATCTGAAGACTGAAGTGCTGAGAAATTTAAACGTCTCTGATCATTTATGAGATTCTAGAAATGGTGCGTGAACCTTTTTTTTAAAAAAAAAATGCACAAGGCTCTTAATTATTTTTATTTTTTCCTTGACTCTTTCAGGAGGACAGTGACCCTCCTGTGAATGAGAGCTTGAGTATTGAAAATACCCTCTGGGCTAGCACAGTAATTGCTTCAGGTAAGGCCTAATGTGTGAATTTCTCAGGGAGTATGTTAGCAATTTTTTTTTAAAAAAATCTTTCTTTGTAATTGAAAATAATCATCTCTTGTCAATGGAAATTAGGGGTTGGAATGAAGTTTTCCACTTGTGCTAATACCACCAGGAGTTTGAGTTGACATCTAATTACCCCTTTGGACATTTATAGATGAGAAGACCTTTGGAATTTCAATAAATAACCTTTGGAGAAAGCATCCACTGCTAGAATAGCACTTAATTGCTCCCTATATTGACATTTTAAATCTGTTACAGAAAGGGTGACGGGGATTTTTAAAGGGAAGCTGGGATAAAAGATCTGCAAATAAATGGGGTTCCCCATTTGTGACTCCAAAGGAGAACATCTGATAAAAGAGCAGATGTATCAGGCTGTAGTTAGAAGAAATCAAAGGCTTTTCTCTGAAGCATATTTCAAGAAACAATTCAACTGTCACTCCCCTGAGATGGCTAAATATACCCACCTCTTTCTATATAAGCTTTCCATCATGTTGAACATTTAAGGCATGGATGTGCAGCTTCAGGGAGGGAAGTTCAAGGTACTTAGCTGAATCAGAGGCATGTCAAAGGCAGAACCCTCAAAAGAGAGGAGACCAAAAGAATGACTTGGGTAGTGCCAATAAATTCTTAAATTCTCCCAAAAGGTTTATGTGGTATAAGATGCCACTGAATGTTTAATTTCAAAGAAGGTAACCATAATTTATATTATTGGGATTAATCATGATACCTGTTTTTAGTTGTATTTTAAATTAAAATTATATCTTGTTTAGTTTTCGTCTCAGCTGTACACTTTTTCTCTTGACACTAACAGTTTTCATGTCCTAGTCCTAAAACATCATTGTTTACCTCCCCCCCCCCAAAAAAAGATTGCTGATTTTAACAACAGAATGTATGTTTTTTTGTTTAATTTTTGAGCTCCATCATTACATTATTGGGCATATGTATGTAAATTGTATTGGTTAAGACCTGTTTATAAATTAATTAAACTCATGAATAAATCGATTACCAGCATAAATGATCATCCTAGGTTCCCTGGTGGCACTTTTCTGTTGTGTTGAACTTTGCTCAAATATCCAGACCATATTTCGCCAATCTGGCATACTTAAGATATTTTAAATTGCACTTTCCATCAGCCCCAGACATCATAATCAACATAGGCTTGGAGAGATTGGCACTGTAATCCAGCATAACTGGAAGGTTTCAAATTGAAAGATATTAGCCTGAAAACCAAAGCACACATATCACAGTCTAGAATAATGTTTATTCTTTGGCATTGTTGTATTCTTGCCAAAAACATTAGTCAACATTATTGAATTTTGTGAATCAGATATCTTGCAAAAGGAAAAACACAGCTTAAATGTTCATGATATACAGTCCACCCACTGACATTTTCATAGAATGTATGAACTGGTGATCTGGTTCAACTACTTGGTCAGCGTACACGATTGCACTGAATCATCCCTGATAAGTGGCCATCAGCACCATTTGAAAAAGGCTGTTCTAGTGTACTATACATGTGAGAACAATAATCACATAATAATTTATAGGAATAGAGTGTATGAATGGTGTTTCTGCTTTAATCTTCAGGAACAGTTGTGGGAGTTGTTCTCTATACAGGCCAGGAACTACGCAGTGTCATGAATACCTCAAACCCACGCAGTAAGGTAAGAAAAATAATTTCCTCATTGTTTTAATTATTTATTCATTAAACAAATATATATGGTGCCCAAATTCCACACAGGTGACTCTGAGCTGCTTACAACGTAATCTCAGCAATCTTTGTTGGTCCATAAGGCTAGATTTGTGAGTAAATATGCAAAGTTGTATAGTCCATTTTAGATGCCTGATCATATGTGTCACACATCTCACATGTGTCACTCAGGTGTGCATATAGAACATGTTAGATGAAAAATGTAATATATGAGTTCTCAGACAGTGACTTCATGTCAATTGGTTCTCACAGGAGAATTACAGAAACCAACTTCTTAGTTCTTCATATCAATATCAACTGTATTTTCTGCACACAGAAAACAGTGTCCATGAGAAGGGGTTAGCTTAGTTTATATTTATCACAGCTTAGAGGACAGCTTATTGAAGTAAAAAAATCTGAGTACAGTGTAGTGTTACAAATATAAATATACATAATACTAATATAGAGAGGTAAAACATCAATATAGTTGTAGAAATAACTGCACCACAAAAATAAAAAAGGGAGCCGTGAACAAGAACAATAATACTAACTTATAAATTTACCTGACCTTCTGATCCCCCTACCTGGAAGAATATTGATAATCTGAATCAATCTTGCCTTACATGATGCCCTTTGAATAGAATTGTAGCATGTAAGATTTGACGGAACTTTAGAGGTTCAATTCCTGGCCAATGCAAGATCTCCTCCTATTTTTTATTAGAAGTCAACTGCTGATGATCCCAACTGTCCTGTTTTAAAAATCTGAACCACATGGAAGATACAAAACTAGGGGAAGATGTACCATGCCTTTTTAAAAAAAATAAAAAAATCTGGAGTAGTGTGTGATCATATTTTGGTTTGATACCTGCTCTAATTGCAATAATTGTTAATGCAAATAATCATTTTCTTTTTTTAAGATTGGTCTTTTTGACTTGGAAGTTAACTGTCTAACCAAGATACTCTTTACGGCCTTGGTGGTGGTCTCCCTTGTCATGGTCTCCCTCCAACACTTTGCTGGCCGCTGGTACCTTCAGATCCTCAGATTTCTTCTTCTGTTCTCAAATATCATTCCTATCAGGTATAAATGTATTAGTTATACTCCTTTAAAATAGTGCCATATTTTTGATGTTCTTCTTCATTTGAGCCTTAGTCAAACTTCCTTAAATGATTTACTCCATATCCTTAACATAAGCCTAGTTGCTTTTTACATAACTACTCTTAGTGAAAAGTGCTTCCTCAAAGGCTAAAGCAAGCATGCTAGAAGTTCTTGCATGATGTAATTGTTGATAGGTTTTACAGTTTCAGGCCATGGTGAATTCTACCTGAATGGGGTTATTGAATCTTAGGGTATGCAACCTCTTAGAACATGAGGGTAGGATGTATCAGTCTTTCATTCCTCATTAGGAACAAGCCAGATCCTGTGCTTTAAATATATCACAGTTCCAAATCTGTGTGTAACAACAAGTGAATAATAACCTTCCTATATTTACAGAGTGGCGGGAGCAGCATTGCAAGAATTGACTTATTTATGTGTATAATTCATCTATATAAATTATAGTTTGCAGCCTGAAAAAGGCCTGTAGAGCTGTGAATATTTAGAGCAGGATTGAGGAACTTGGAACCCTCAGGAAGTTACCCAGATAACACTCCCACCAGTCTTATCACTGCCTGTGCTGACTGTCTTGGTTGAATGATATAGTTCATTAGCGTTTGGAGTACGTTGATTTCCCAGCTGCAGTTGGGGCTGTATTCCTTATTTTTAAGAAATTTACTTAGAATTTTTAGCTTGATGTAGGTCTTATTGATAAGGAGCATTTTAAATATAGGAAGTATAAATATTAAACATAGAAAACACGTGACAACTCTCTATGTGGGACACTCTAAATTTCCTCCCTATGCTGAACTGTTGTATTTTTTTAAAAAGACTGAATCCATTCTTCATACCAAGCCATAACATGCATAGTCATCCATTCTTCATCATTTTGACACCAGATTACAGAAAATGAATCATGATGCAAACTCTGTCCATTTATACTTGTGTCACAGCATACAGAAGAGTTTGCATAGTGATATCACTAGTGGATGCCAATGATATCTTGGTTTACTTTGAGCTTAGTACAATGGTGAGCCAGATTGCTATGGCTTATTCAACAACCATAAAACCCACTTGGCATTATGTTTGAAAACAGCTAGAGATCTAGTTCATGAATTTCCCATATATCACGTAGCTTAACTATGAGTTTTGAATTGGATTACATCATATTTCTTTACATAGTTTGCTAATAATGGCCAGAGTTCAAATGACTATTTCAGGCCACATTTTACACTGAAGCCATTTTTATTTGATATGATCCTAAGTACTGGGTTACAAATGTCATCTGGGGGAACTGCTCACCTGTCTGTAGCTTTAGAAACAAAGAATGTGTTTCTATAAATCCCATGTAGGAAAGCAACATCTGGTTCAGATCCTTATCTAATTTTCATTCTGGTGTTGTCCATTGATAGTTGCAATCTCACATATCTAGATGGAGCCGAATTGGGATAAATTGTGGGGGACCAAACCTCTTCAAATATTCTTCCTGCCAATTTTTAAGGCATGTTTTTGAGTAAATTCCTACTACCAACCAATTGTTGCTTCTTTCTCATCTTCTCTTCCTTTTATGTAGTTTACGGGTGAATCTTGACATGGGAAAAATTGTCTACAGCTGGATGATCCGGAGGGATTCTAAAATTCCTGGCACAGTAGTTCGATCTAGCACAATCCCAGAGCAACTAGGCAGAATATCCTATTTGCTTACTGATAAGACAGGTATTTTCATATATAATTTTTTGCAGGACACAAAATCAGGATCTGCTGCAATTATTTTGTTGTGTTGTGAAAGATCTTAGTGCATTTTTCTGAATGTACAAAATGAATAAGAGATACATAACAACTTGATAATACTTTCTGGCCCAAAGCCCACCTTTCAGTTTTGAATGGTATGCTGGGCATTGTGCTTTAAAAAGTAGTGGCTGGATAAAGCAGAAAAGGCAAATTTAATTCTATTTATATTTAATATTTACAAATGGCTAATACTTTCTTCAGTGTATTTAACGATTTTCTGATTTTTTTTTAATTTTAAAGTTTACAATTCTCTAACAATAACTTTACATCTCTGGGATGCTTTTCTTGGCAATGTATGGTCTTCAGGTTAAAGCAGATCTGGTGTTAGAGACTTAGAAATGTTTCTTGATGTTTAATTTGCTCTTTCTGTGTCATAATATGTAATTTTGTTCCTATCCTAGGGACTCTAACACAGAATGAGATGGTTTTCAAACGTGTCCATCTTGGAACAATGGCTTATGGGTTTGACTCTATAGATGAAGTTCAAAGCCATATCTTTAGCATATATACACAGGTAAGATAAGCAAAATTATGAAACTATATCAGAGATAAGGAATGATGGGATTAAAAGATATTGCCGAACCATGGTTCCAGCATCAGGAAATGATGTTTTCATATTTTTTTCTGTATGAAAGATAGAAAAACCCAGCTAAGGTAGAGGTTCCAGCCACCCTCAGAGGACCATGAGTCTCCCATTCGTGACATATACTACTATAAATAAAATCCTGAAAAACCAACATTTGTTAAACACAACATTCAGTGCTATATGCCACACTGTTTTGAAATTGACTTAACATTTCCTTTATTTGTAAAACCCATTCCTGGTTTTCTCTCCATACTGCTTTTCCCAGTTTTCATTTCTATAGAAAAACTGTTGAGGAGGAAAAAAGTTGGAATGATTGCACAGTGTCTTATAATAGGGCTTTCTTTTTTGTGCCTTCGGATCAGTTCTAACTCCAAATCAGTTTTGACAGGTTCAGCAGTTTTCTTGGCAGAGTTTTTTGGAAGTGGTTTTCCATTATATAAGTTAAACAAACAAACAAACAAACTCCTTCCCAGGACTGAGAGAAAAGAACTGGCCCAAGATAGGACTAGAACTCAAGTCGCCTGTTTTCTAGCCTGGTGCCTTAAGCGCTAGACAAACTGACTCGTTAATAGATAGGCAGGTTTTCTCCATGCTGCATGCATTCTTGTAATAATAGAAATTTAATACTGGAGAAATAATGAAATTAACCCATTTAGCTGAATGTCTAAAAAAATCATTATGTTATTTATTCCTTGCTCAGGAGTTTTATCTTTTCTGGCTAGAGATATTTTAGCTCCTGTTTTTAAATAAATGTAGAAGAGGGGAAACAAATAACACTTAACACTAGCTTTGGTTTTATATATCTTCTTTTCAGAAATTGGAGAAATAGGAGACATATAATTGAGGGCACGAAAAGTGGAAATTTTAAAGCTCTTTTTATAAGAAATTTGCTTCAAGGGGGGAACAGGATCGCCTATTCTTGCCCTCCTTCTCCCCCACCCCAGAACCTGCCTTCAGCACAACCCAGAGGTTGGCACACCTGCAGCAATACCACAAAAACATCTTGGAAACTCCAAACTTAAACTAACAAAAATAGATGCCCAACATTTTACAAAATTTGGTGATCTTGAGATTTCAGCCGCTGAAGGGTGCCCATGCAACCCCCTGAAAAAGTTACTGTCCTCAGCATAATCTGACAATGACATTATATGTGTAAATGATATTAATCCAGGTTCTGTATACACAGTCAGGGACCCTTAAATAGACTGCCCCCTAGATAATTTGTCCCCCTCACAAGTTAACTGGAAGCAGGAAAAGTGGATCTGCAGATAAATGTTCTATTTCCTGGCTCCAACCTGTAGCCAAGATCAATTTTAATTAATATAGTTTCATTTAATAAGATGAAAGAAGCAGCTAACAGTGGTAAGGGATTTCTCAGTGAATGCAAGCTTAAATGTAATTGAAAGGTTAGAATCTCTGGTAATTGGAAGCATTTGGTGGCCATGATTCATTTAAACTGTAGTTCTGATTCATTGCTCTAATTATTGGTACCATGCTATGCCCTTTGACTTGGAAGTGAAACTTTTGTCCTCTTGACATAAGAGGTTAACAGAACAGGAAACTCAATGGTTATATATTCCCCTGCGACCAGCATAATTTAGTAATTGTGAAATTACCGGGAAGGTTTGATGCAGACTCTGAAAACAGTAATAAAAATTAAAACTTTCTATCTTCACCCTGCCCATTTGTTTTTTTCTTTTCTGTCCTTATAATACCATATCCTATGCATTTCATTAAACATCTTTTGCTAAGCTTTTTCCTGTAAATTTATATTTTTACGGAGCTTAGTGTTACCAGAGAAAAATAATCTGTCCTCTCTTGATCAGTGAATAACATTCATGTACAGTTGTCCTAATTTTTGTTGTTGTTGTTTGTCTGAATTGAGGCATGCAACAGATAGACCAGGAACTACACATAGATGTTGGTGGTGGTTTGTTCTCCGAGCTTGTTTCATTTCCAAACGTTTTCTTTCCAAGCTAGGTAGCATCAACAGTGGAACTTCAGTTGAAGTGTCTTGTTTCAGTTCTCTTCTGCTTTTATAGGTTTATATGATCAGTTGTCACATGACTGACTGGTCATGCTAATGCTCATGTGTCTGGTGTGGCCAAGACACATAGATATTATGACAATGTACATTGATTAGCAACCAACATCCCCTTCTGTAAAATTGGCAACAAGGAAATTTTTTTTCTCTACCCTCTAAATTTTGATTGCTGAAATTCATAGGACATAATAATTATATTAGCTGTGTTATTGATAACAAATTCCCAACTGAAGCATGTCCTTAAGGGTACCTGGTTGATCTAGATTTCTGAGAATTATAGGATCTGCTCTTTAGAATAATCTTGAGATGGGAGAGCAATTGATGAGAGCTCCAACTATGTCTTAGTCTCCCCCACCATCATAACAGTAGCAATAATTAACAGTAACAAGTAGTTCTACAAGGAGTTATTTGAGAGAAGTGTTATTTTTATTTTCCACCTCTCCCTGAGATTTCTTTACTGCAGTGTCAACTCTTCTGCTTCCTTCACTATAATATTATCCAATAGGGTGGTTCTTTGATGTTGGAGAGGATAATTTATTTCACCAAACATTCCCCATATAATAAATTCTATCATTGACAGTAAGATTAGGCATGGCTCCCTAACTGTTCTGTCTCAGCCACTCATTTGTATTCGATTATTTCTGGTCCAATCACCAAATGCACAAGCCTCTTCCCTCAGTTCCATTTTTTTACTGGATTTGAAAGATCTGTGCTATTCCCAGGATAGACAAATATACAAATCCTGACTCATTCATTCATTCATTCACTCATTCATTCATTCACTCACTCATTCATTTCTTATCCCCATCCATCTCTCCTGTAAGATGATTTCTCAGTTCTGGGATTTCCCATATGAAAACAATGGAACCTTTTGCCCATATTTTGTCTTTTGTTTACCAATTGTGGTTGCTATTGTTACTCTGTATGTTCTTCAGATTACTTGGGGAAATGAGAGCATGTTTTTTTTTTGCCTTAGGTGGTAATGATTTATTTTTCGGTAGAAAGTAGAATCCAAGATGAATAAATCTTCTTTCTGTCCCAGTTGAAAATAATGCAATTACCAGAGATGGCAGTCCTGACTGATACTCTGCAACATTTAATTTGGAAGTGGTGCTACAGAACACAAGAATATTGATGCAGCATTTGTTGATAACTTGTTAGAGCAGTTGTGTCTGTTTCCAAGATTGTATAGCTGCAGCAGAACATTCTCCCCGTGCACACACACCTACACAACACACATTGCAAGTGCTACCTTTGACTGTTGAGAGTGATTGGAAGCTGCATGTTATGCTTCTGCTCATCATCATGTCTTTACTTAGGGATGATCAGTTGGGGTCTTCCAAAGCATTAACCCTTCTGAACCCCTATAAGTTATGCACTCCTCTTGGTTGCCTTTAGCAGTCTGGAGTCAGGCATTGGCGAGAAGCTTATACTGTGTCTGAACCTCCAACTACTTTGCATTATCAATAATGTTTAGTGCTCGTCAACATCTTCATCAATGATTTGGATGAGGGGATAGATGGGGAACTCATCAAATTTGCAGCTGACACCAAGCTGGCAGGAATAACCAACACTCCAGAAGATAGGCTTAAGATACAGAAGGATCTTGACAGACTTGAACATAGGGCTCTATCTAACAAAATGAAATTCAATGGTGAAAAAAGGTAAGGTTCTACACCAAAGGCACAAGTATAGTATAGGTGATACCTTGCTCAATAGTAGTAACTGTGAGAGGGATCTCTGAGTCCTAGTGGACAATCACTTAAATATGAGCCAGCAATGTGCTGCAGCTGCCAAAAAAGCCAACACAGTGCTAGGCTGCGTTAACAGAGGGATAGAATCAAGATCACATGAAATGTTAATACTAATTTACAATGCCTTGGTAAGGCCACACTTGGAATACTGCATCCAGTTTTGGGCACCACGATGTAAAAAAGATGTTGAGACTCTAGAAAAAGTACAGAGAAGAGCAACAAAGATGATTAGGAGACTGGAGGCTAAAACATATAAGGAATAGTTGCTGGAATTGGGAATGTCTAGTTTAATGAAGAGAAGGACGAGGGGTGACATGATGTTCCAATATCTCAGGGGCTGATACAAAGAAGAAGGAGTCAAGCTATTCTCCAAAGCACCTGAAGGCAGGACAAGAAGCAAAGGATGGAAACTAACCAAAGAGAGAAGGAGCCTAGAACTAAGGAGAAATTTCTTGACAGTCAGAACAATTAATCAGTGGAATAACCTGCTTCCAGAAGTTGTGAATGCTCCAACACTGGAAGTTTTTAAGAAGAGACTGGACAGACATTTGTCTGAAATGGTATAGGGTTTCCTGCCTGAGCAAGGAGTTGGACTAGATGACCTCCAAGGTCCCTTCCAACTTTATTATTATTAATAATAGTAAGGATCCATTTTGACTGTTACTTTTCTATTTAGATAGATCCCAACATGGATTTTCCTTATCACAAAGAATACGACTTTAATTTAGACTCCTATTTACTTTATTGAACGGTGGATTCACTTAATTAGAATTATACAGACTTATGATGTATTGATCTTTTGGTCCTGTAGACTTTCCATGGTGACAGCATAATTTTATTCCTTACAAGACACTAATCATCATCTTCTAACAAGAAGGAAGTAACTCATGTCTCTTTGGCTGAGCCATCCAGCATGGTTAAACAATAATAACTTAATATAAAGAAAGCACTGCATCAGCAACAATAACATTTTGAAAATATACATGGCTTAGATCATGAATCAGGAAGCCAAGGCCAAAACTGAAGCTCTCGCTTCTGAAGAGAAGAGATTCTTCAGTGAGAAAAGAAATAATATGCTGGACAGAGTTCGAAGGTTTAAGCTTAGAGTCAAGAGAATACATCACAAATTCTGCAAGACCCTCCATTAAATCCAAGGGTCACTGCTTTTTTCTGGAGTGATACATTTTCTATTGCCCCAAGTTCTGAGATCTTCTTTCTCATGTTTACACACAAATGTCCAGCCTTGAAGATACCTGTCTTGTGATCACTTACAACACCTTTTCTAGCAAGTCCATGATGGTACCCAGTTTGAAACTATCTCAACCTCTATTTCCTGAATTAATTGTCTTTCAATGCATGGGTATACTTCCTGTAATGATATCACAATCACATTCCCTCAAATGCCTCTCTTTTGTTCACTATTTGTCTTTCCCTATTATTGATTCATATCTAAGATTTGATTATATGCCATCAAGTCATTGTCAACTCTCAACAATGACACAGATTTTCTCCATCACAATCTGTTCCTAACCTGGTCTTCCAATGGTGGACTTATTGCCACTTTGAGTCCATCCATCTTGTTTCTGGTTGTCCTCTTCTTCTCTTTCCTTCTACCTCTCCCAGCATTAGAGCTAGGGAACCAGATCTTCATATAATGGGTCTGAAGTAGGATAATTGGAGCCTATTCATTTGTGCTTTGATTGAGAACTTTGATGCATATTTTTATACTGCAGTTATGTTGTACTATCAACAGAACTTTTACTTCTATTTAGACTCCAATCTTTCCTGGGTCACAAATATTACATATTAATATGTATTAAATAATTAGATTTTAGTCAAGATTTATCATAGCCATGCTGCTTTTTTTGGTTTAATGAACTTTCTCTTCTGGAAATAAAGTAATTTACAGAGGCTACTCCGAATGAGGACTGGTTACTTGTTTGTAACTTTGACTCTTGAAGCTGACATTTGCGAATTCATAGTATCTCCCCAGCTCTCAATTCCAGTGAAGTTGTTTCCCTATTGAATCCATCGACTACTATGGTCAAAATATCTTAGGGTTACTAAGATACTTTTTTTGTCCTACAGTGTATCTTTATCATCTGATTTATAGTAGTAGTAGTAGTAGTAGTAGTAGTAGTAGTAGTAGTAGTAATAATAATAATAATAATGTTGGAAGGTACCTTGGAGGTCATCTAGTCCAACCCCCTGCTCAGGCAGAAAATCCTACACATTTCGGACAAATGGCTGTCCAGTCTCTTCTTAAAAACTTCCAGTGTTGGAGCATTCACTGCTTCTGGAGGCAGGTTGTTCCACTGGTTAATTGTTCTAACTGTCAAGAAGTTTCTCCGTACTTAGATTTGATCTTCAAAATAGCCGGATTCATAAGGAGGGTATTAATTGTAGGATGTTAATTTCAATTAACCCATTTTCTCCTCTCTTCTAGCAGTTGCAGGAACCACCTGCTTTAAAAGCACCCAACCTGGCTACCAAGGTACGGAAAACCCTGAGCAGCCGTGTCCATGAGGCAGTGAAAGCAATTGCTCTCTGCCACAATGTGACTCCTGTCTATGAATCGAATGGTGTGACAGATCAGGCTGAAGCTGAGAAGCATTATGAAGATTCTTGCAGGGTGTACCAAGCTGCTAGTCCTGATGAGGTAAAATGGTCCTCAAAAGAATGTTATTGTCTTTTTATGTCTTTTTAATATTCCTGTTTTTTTCCTTTTCTTTTCCAAATATGGTTAATGGCAGTCTGGGGGATAATGTAAGCATAGCTGTTAAATTTCACATGACATTAAAGCTTGGAATTTATCCATGGCAATGTAATTAATTTATATAAATAAGATTTCTCAAACCCTTCAGTTTTTTTTTATTTCAATTCAATTGTGTCTACTTCTCGGAAACTACCTGGACAAGATTTTTCAAAAGTGCCTTTCTAGGACTGAGAAAAAATTAGTGGCCCCAGATCACCCAGCCAACTTTGTGTCCAAGGAGGAACTAGAATTCACAGTCTCCCTGTTTTTAACCTAATGCCTTAAGCACTACTCCAATTGACTCTCACAAGCAAATATAACAGAATTTTATTTTGTTTTAAAAGTTAAATCTTTCATGATAAAATCCTCTCTTGGAATATAATTTTTTTAACGATATTGGCAATATAAGTCTTCCCATTGTCTTTACTCCCTAAACAGCTGGCTTCCTTCTTTTTTTGAAAAAAAGGAAAAAAGCTAGGTTACTTTTCTGAATTTTGATATTGCTAAGCCATACCCTCTAGGAAATCAGTGAAATGTTGTTTTAACGGACTTCTAAAAAAATCTATCTTTGGAACTCTATAGTAATAAAATATTGTTAAGGCAGGAAGATCAGTTAATGTTGAAATTTGAACAAAACCTTGAAGGTCCATCTCCCTACCCCCCTTTTTTTGAACAGAAGGGATAATTTCTACCAGTTGGCACAGCATTCATTTCCTGAAACACAAAGCAGGCTTCCTACATTTGTTTCCGATGTACATTCCTGGGCCAAGGCTCCTGAAAGCTTCTTTATAGAGAGATCAGTTACTGCCTCTGGGGGTCCGTCATTCTGTCTGATTGAGGCCTTACAGTACCGAGGGGAAATGTAAGAGGTAGAATCTGATCAGATAACTAGCCCAGGAGAAGACTTGACCAAGTGACCTTCAACCGCCAAAACACTTCACCGCTTCCTAGAATGTGAAAAAAATGTGCCGATCAACTACATTACAAGCAGCTGTTCACAGGGATCCTGCCATCCAAATGATACTTTGAGGTATGAGGGATATGTGTGTATCTATCTATCTATCTATCTATCTATCTATCTATCTATCTATCTATCTATCTGTTGGTCTGAAGCGACATTAATCAATAGCCTTGTTGGCCAATAAATTCACATGAGTTCATGAGCAAGGAGTGTTCAGTTGCTAGAAATTTACAGGAACACTAGCCAATAACTAGTGGGCTATAGCAGGACCACTGTTTTATGTACTGATATAGAATTTTATGGCTGGCACCAACCAAGAAGTGATGAGCTTTTGCGATGAACAGCCGTGATCTAGTTTGCTTTTCTTCTGTTGTTTCAACAGAAGCTGTGGTTGGCATCTTCAGAGGCAGTGTGTATTGCTTTGTGGTGTACCTCTCTGTATGCCTCTCAAGATGCCAGCCACAACATCAGGTGAAACATCAGAACAAAATAAATCCAGGCCATGGCCATTCAGCTCCAAAACTTATCACTGCTGCTGTGGTAATCCTAGGATCCTGACCGGCTGAAGTTGACTCAGCCTTCCATCCTTCCAAGGTCAGTAAAATGAGGACCTAGATCAGTGATGGCAAACCTTTTAGAGACCAAGTGCCCAAACTGCAACCCAAAACTCACTTATGCATGGTCGGGTGCCAGGTGGCTGTGGCCCATTGGCTGAGCGTGGCCAATTGGGTGGGTGTGGCCCATTGGCTGGGCATGGCTGCGGTGGTAACGGCAGACTGGGTGGGACTAAAAAGTTCAATCAATCAATTCCAACTTTGCAAGATCTTTTTTTTTTTCCCACGAGAAGTTGAAATTGACTGGTTGAACCTTTTTTTTTTTTTTTTGCACACGGCGGCGGAGGCCTAAAGCGAAAAGGTTTTATAAAACCCAGCTGAAGGCCTAGGACTGGGACGACAGCGCGCGTGCCCACACAGAGGGCTCTGAGTGCCGCCTCTGGCACCCGTGCCATAGGTTCGCCACCACTGACCTAGATTCTTGGGGGAAATATAGTGACTCTGTAAACTGCTTAGAGAGGGCTGTAAAGCATTATGAAGCGGTATTTGTGTATAAGGGCTATTGCTAATTGCCCTTATGAAGGATCATTGGAGATCTTTTGTATTCTTAAGAGATCTTGTCTAAAGGTGCACAGATTAAATGAGAAATAAGCAAGCAAGAAACTTCAGAGAGGCAGTTTTGGTTTTAATGCAGCTGTGGTTTACACAAACCAATGCCAGATTGTTCGTTGGCTACCCCATTCCTAAAAGCCATGTGCCTTTCCCTTTTATTATATCTAGATTCACCAGCTAAGAATAGCATTTTAACAACACTTCACTTGATGCCTGGAATAACATATATAAATGTAACATAATCACATTAAACCTCACACCAGTCTTGCAAAGTAGCATATCCCTTTTTTTCAGTCTGAGGACAAAAGATGAGAGAGATTGGTCAACCTAAATCATGTGACCTCAAGGACTGGATTTTTGGCTTATCACTTTTTCTTGCATAAAAGTCCTTTATTTGAGAAGTTACTCTCATCTTCCTCAAATAATCATTTTGTTAGGTTCTTCCTTACTCAGCATCCCACACCCATGATGACTGTTACGTTACTCACAGCAAACTCATATTTTGAATATAGGTAGGTAGCCAAAGCAATGCAATTGACAGATACCATCAAGGGAAATTCTTAAATGTGCCCAAGTTCTTAAAAGGTGAGACATTCCCCCACCCCCAGATCAGTCCAGTGAGAACTATGTTCTCACTAGTGGAAAAATGTTGACTAAAAAGGGTGGGGGAGAAAAGGGAGAGTAGAAGTCAGTGAACTGGGATTAAGCATCTTGAAAACAGAGAGCCCTAAGGAAAAAGCAATCCATGCTGCATTTTTTGGATTGCGGCTCCTATGTACAATTACATACAGGTAGTCCTCAAGTCCCAAGTTTCCATTACTAAGCCAGATGTTGTTAAGTGAGTTTTGACCCATTTGACGACCTTTCTTGTCACAGTTGTGAAGTGAATCACTGCAGTTGTTAAGTTAGTAACGTGGTTGTTAAGTGAATCTGGCTTCCCCATTGATTTTGCTTGCTTTTCAGTGCCATTATAACTTCAAATGGTCACTAAACAAATGTTTGTAAGTCACGGACTACCTGTATGTCAAATAACATCACTAAAGCTCAAGAATCAACAAAAGTTTGCTATATGGAAAGGTAATAATGGCTGCAGCCTAGGATCCTTCATTGCTGGGAACATATTCTGTAATTAATTTTCTATTCCATTTCTTATTAGATGATATTTGGGCAAAGAGATGCAGAGGAAATATTTGGGCATGTTAGTTTCAAAGTAATTCATTGGAATTTACAGTGAAAGATAAGTTGATCCTCACCCTCAATTATCACTGTATTCATAAATTGTTATTTTCTAAATATTTTCTATATTTTCTCCTGCCCTAGCAACATGGTTGAGTAACCAAGCCACTGCCTGACGATGAGGAAGGGTATTTTCCTTTCTTCGTCGTGGGGAAAAAGAGCAATTTTTTTTAAAAAAAGGTGGGCAACAAAAAAAAATATTGGTAGATAAGAAACATGCATTAAGAACTTTTTAAAAATTATCCGGACAAAAATGATTTAACCTTCAAGAGATTGTATGTAACTAATGGAAAGCACTGGGAGAAAAGCTAATTCATTATTATTTTATTCTTATTTCAGTGTAACTTTCAGGGTGCTGAAGTTGCTCAGTCATTTACCTTTGAGATTCTTGAGCAGTATTTCTCAACCACTTCAAGATATATGGACTTCAACACCCAGAATTCCCCAGCCAGCATGCTTGGGTTCACATGTCTTGAGGTGGCCAAGGTTGAGAAACACTGTTCTAGAAGGGTGGGATGAAAGGAGAGCAAGTGGGAATTTCAGCCTCATGGACAGGTTGTTCTCTCAATTGCCCTCATATTCCAGCCCCAGCTATAGAAACCACGCCTGCTAGTCCCAGGTGTTATCAAATTAGAAAGGCACTTCTAGCCACAAGAGAGGTTGAGGAATCCAGGAGGGGAAATGGTACAGTTAACAATCAAATCACTTTGTTCTTCACTTTGCCTGTTTCCCCCCTCCCTCCTGTTGCATTCGCTTGACCTCTGAACTCACTAGCTCAGCAGTCTATCTGACCTGTGACTTCTCTTGTGCTTAGGTGGCCCTGGTGCAATGGACAGAAAGTGTTGGCTTGACACTGGTTGGAAGAGACCAGGCTTCTGTGCAGCTGAGGACTCCTGGTGGCCACATTCTAAACTATACCATCCTCCAGATTTTCCCCTTCACGTATGAAAGTAAACGAATGGGGATCATTGTTCGGGTAAGATGGATAAGCATGTGAGAAAAAAATGTTCTCTATAAACTGGGATAAGATTTCAGGCTTTTATTATTATGGTTGATTGGTTGTATACTCAACCAAATATTTAGACTCAATTTGGCATTTTTATCCACCTGTCAAGTCCATCCCAAGAATCTGGGATAGGCAGTTATTGTTTGATGGTATTAAAGATATTATCTCAGGATGTGAATTGTTTCAAGTAAAGTTGCCTTCTGCAATTGACTGATGGAGATTTTGTCAATGCCAGTGGTATTCAAGTGGTGCTCCAGATGTATTGTTATTATTTCTTTATTAGGATATTTTATAAAGCAGAGCCTGTTGCAAAATATGTAATTACCTGTAAATTCATATCTCTTCTTTTTTTAAAAATTTAGGATTAGCATATGGCCATGTGTGTTACATGTGCCATAATATGTAGAGGATTCTTTCACTAATCCCTGGTTTATATGGTGCTCTTCACAAACTGTTTGTGGTCTGCATAATGGGAATGGTTGGGAATAATAGCTATAACAGTCCTCTGGAATCTTAATACTAAATGTTTTGAACAGAATGGAGCTCATAGTCATTCCATACAAAAAAAAAATCTGCCTGTTTTTCCAAGCTGCTTTCATTTCCTCAATTAAAACTGCTGTTCTTGTTAATCAATTAGAAGTCAAGAATTTATCTCCAAAAGTGCTGCAAATTTTCTAAAATCTGATCTACCTTTTAACTCCATCCTCTTGAATTTGATTAGAATTCTTTCCAAGTTAATCAATTCTCATTGCATCTTCCAGCAGTGGGGAAAATGCCTGTTGAATTTTTTTCTGTCACAAGTTCCCAGTTTATAGAAAACGTCCAGAGAGGCTGATATTTCTAAATCTTTGTTTTCCTACAGTTATATTCCTATTATCCAAGTAATAACTACAGCATATTTCTTACAGAGGCGGGCATAAATTGGGATATTTTTGTTTAAGAGGATGAAAATGCAGAAAGATAACATGTTGATGTATTTGATATGGAGAAACAGAAAGAGGGAAGGATGGGCAAGTCTCACCTCCAAAAACAGTTAGTAGCAAGATGTTGGATCATGTTTGTTTTACTTATAAACTTTGTGGCTGAGTTAAAAAAAAAAAAGGCCAAATATCTTTTCTAGATTCTCTAGCTGCCTTGCAAATGGTAAAACAATTAGCAATCTCCCTTTCCCTGAGTTTTGTGGTGTCTTCTTAAGAGGGGAATGTTAAAGATTTGTCTATTTTCATAGTATCTGATTCCAGGGATCCTGTTATAGCCAACAAGTCAGGCAAATAAGACTGTTGCTGCCTCTTATTGGTAGGGAGGCAGCTGTTTGTTCAACCACAAAAACTTTCCAGTCTCTCTTCTTCTGAGCAGTTGGAATGGAGAATGGGGTTTTTTGCAACCCAGAAACTGCTATTGTCATGTGTCAAGTGGGAGTTGGGGGAGGAGGGAAAGGCCTTTGAACCTTGGCCCAAAATCAGACTATGGTGGAAAAAGATGTGGTTGAGAAACAATACAACTGGCAAATCTTTCTGCAGATTTATACTTGTAATCTTGCCATATCATGGGAATGTGCTAACCTCCTACTGAACTTGGTGAGAGGAAATGACTAATGCAAGGAGATAGTTGATATGATATTTATATTGGACAAAAGATCTAAACGCTCTTAAAACTAGTTCTGCGCTGCAGGAAGTGGACTTTCTTGTTAGTTTCCTATCAAAAAGTTATTAAAACTTATCTCAACCATTTAAACGTATAATGCACAAACATTGATCTTAATTTGTGATGAAAATATTTTAAGCTGTTTTTTTCCCTGGCACCCTTGGATTTGAAATTGGAAGTTTATATTGCCACATGATGCCATTGTCATATGTCCTTTTGTGAAAGATGACAATAATGTGCCATACATAAAAAGCCACTGGTATAAAGAAGATCAAGTGCTAAAGAAGATTGTTGATCAAGTTCATATAAATGTTTTAAAAAATTTTTTTAAATCAGGCAGAAAAAGGGAGGGAAGTCCCCTTAATCTTTCTTCATCTGATGAAGGAAATCATTCTGGGTCTTTAATAGTATCTGTGGAGGAGAGAAATTTTGTATTTGGTCTGAGTGTTAAACCACATCAGCTTGAGAGATCAACCACGCCCATCAGTACTGAAGGCATTTCTGCAAGCCCAAGTCTCAGTGCCAAATTTAATTTCTTTTCTTTCCAACAGGCAAAGAGAACCTGGGGTCTGCCCCTACCATTTTTTTGGGGGGGGGGGAAATAAGAGGTCCCAGTGGAAGGGCAATAATGCAAAGTAGATGGATCCTATCAGACACTTGATCGTAACCAGGATTCTCTTTTTTTTCCCTCCTTAATTTAGACAGGAGAAGGGTTTTTTTTTTTTTGGCTTTTGATTAAGTCTGAAAACTTACACTTTGTGTCTCCTTTGTTTTCTTAATAGTTAATTGTGAGCAGAGATTTATGGGGTTGTAAAAATCAGATTTGTGGCACTTTGTCCCATTCTAGCTTCTATAGCCTTTTAGGGGTTTCCAGAACTTTTTTGGCTGGGTATCCTCTTTTCACTCTGTTTGCGTTATTGAGATGAAGTCCTTCTTACTATAATCTTCTTGGATTTGCATCAAGTCTTTTCTGTTAACTTCACTGTTAACTTTCATCTGGCTGACTGACAATCAGCTTCCACGGATGAGGATGGACTTGAACATCTTAATCTAACATCTTATCTAACATCTTAATCACTGCTCCACAACAGCTCTGGGGGAATCCCAAAGATTTTAGAAGAAAAATATGTTAGTGGATGAAAATCATTTGGTGAGCAAAAAAAATAAAAATAAGATCCGTCCTGCTGTGGAACTTGTGCTCAGAATCTGAACCTACAGATCTGGACTGTACACAAATACATATTCCTTATTTATAGAACAACTAATAAATCTCTCTCTTAATATTCCCTTTGAATTTAATATACTTAATTCCAGATAGGTGAGTATAGGATTACAGTTTTAATCCTGTAATTTAATGCTCACTGATTTCAAATGGATTTAAAAAAAAAAAGATAATGTATATGTGTGTGAATTAGTTAATCATGAATTAGTGAAATGTTTTATCCTAAACAAGAGAATGGTTGGAATGAGGAAAAAGCAGTGACCTTTTTCCATGCAGAACAGTGGGAACCTGACCTCGGCCTGGGATTTCAGCCAGTAACACCTGTCGTTAAATAGAACAGAAACAGAAGATGAGAAAATCAACCCATTCTCTTTTCTGATGGAACTTACATCATAAAATTCTGCTTATTTTGTTCAGACACATAGAAAATTAACAGGTCAAGGAAATGGCTAGGGTAGAATTGATTTCCTTGATATGCTAATTTTATATATGGAGAATTTGGAGTTTGTTTTATGGTGGAATATCCAGTCATTGGAGTACTTGCTTCAAGTATAAATTATTACTGGACATGAATAGGTTTATTACTTTGATTATTAGTGTTAGCTCTTAGAAGCACTGAATGGGAAAGGAGTTCAGAAGCTATCTCATCCACTTCCAATGGTTTTAAAAGTTCATAGTTATACCATTCTTCATAACTGGCCACACAACTGCTAATTTTCAATAATCTTCAATAAAAACTTTTCTAATTCCAAAACGATCTATTCTATTGCCAAACACTTTATTCAAACAGAAAATCCCAACATTTAGAACAAATCCTATGTCCTGCAATCTTAACCTGTTACTACAGGACATACTCTGGAGAAACAGAAAATGTATTTCATCCTCTATATATTACAGTGTTGCAAATACTGTTGCAGTTTAATTAACTGTTTTTCTGACTAAACACACCTTAGAAAATGATAATACCTAGACCAAATAGATGTAGATAATGAGCAAAGAAGATAGTACATAAATGACATATGCTCACCTATTTTTTTTTTTAATGGTTATATAAGAATAATGAGTTGATCAAAAGAAGGATCATTATATACTTTGGGGGCAGGGAAGAATCCAAGCCTTTCCCCAATGTCCCATCTTTTTAAAAATAAAATGGTGGTTCAATGGTCTTTTTATAAAAGAGACTTAGTCAGCATGTCATAAAAAAGATGTAGAGACTCTGGAAAGAGTGCAGAAAAGACCAAGGATGATGATTAGGGGTCTGGACGCTACAACGTATGAAGAACAATTGCAGGAATTGGTTTTTTCTAGTCTAGTGAAAAAGTGACATGATGGCAGTGTTCCAATATTTGAGGGGTTGCCACAAAGAAGAAGGAATCAACTTATTTTTCAAAGTACCAGAAGGCAAGACAAGAACCAATGGATGGAAACTAATCAAAGAGAGAAGCAACCTAGAACTAAGGAGAAGTTTTCTAACAGTGAGAACAATTAACCAGTGGAATGGTTTCCCTGAAGCAGTTGTAGATACTCCACCACTGGAAGTTTTTAAGACAGCCACTTGTCTGGAATGGTATAGGGTCTCCTGCTTGAGCAGGGGGTTGAACTCCAATGTCTCTTCCAACTGTTATTCTGTTATTCTAACTTCCTGTAGTAAACTCCTACACACTGTGCAAATTGGGGAGGGTAGAAGACAGCAGTTCATAGTAGAAAAGTGTTATACATTCTTCCAACTTTTGCTTGTTGAGATTCTATGATGTTATTTTTGCAATGACACATTTTCTTTGGTGCTCTGACCCTTTTAAAGCCATGTTTTACTTGTTATATTTTTTTTCTTCTGAATTGTGCTACCTTATATTCTTTGGAGACAGCAGTTTTTCCCTTTGTTGATTAATGGTTCTTTAAGTTAGGCATCTTTAGGATAACACACAATGACATTCAGTAGATGCACTACATATTTTATGAATAGATATCTGTATCTTTAGTATCTGTACTAAAGCAGGGCGCCTGGGATTTTTTTTCCCCTTTGTCATCTCATTTTTTCCCTCTTCCCTGTTTTCTGTCTCTTTCAGGATGAATCTACAGGAGAAATAACATTCTACATGAAAGGGGCGGATGTGGTTATGGCAGGCATTGTTCAGTACAATGACTGGCTAGAGGAAGAGGTACAGAACAGCAGTCTCAGTGCTCTGACTTATTTTACATTTGCGAGTATGAAATCCTCATTAGGGCAAGAATTCCTGACTGAATTCAGAGAATGCTTTGAATGCCCCTGATGATAGAATTCAGCATTTCCTAACGTGGCAACTTTCCTGTTTGTTGTACTACAACTTCCATCATTAGCCTACCTGGCCACTGTAGTCAAATCATTTGAAGTCAGGAAGAGACCACCTGAAAACTGAGGAAAGGAAAGGAAAAGAAACGAGAGGAGAGGAATATGCTATGCTTATAGATATTGGTAAAGAAGGGTAAAAATAGGGCAGTGAGTGTGCATACTGGCAATATGAATACATATATGTTGAATCTGCAGATATATTGCATGCAACTTGCAATATATATGCAGATTCAACATATATGTATGTGTATTACCACTATGCACAAACATAGTGGTCTTAGAATGGTCTTTGGCAACTTACCTATACATTAATAATTCCATGCAAAATCTGAAATGTTTGGAAATCTCCATCATTTATTTGTCCCATGCAAAAAAATATTTTGCATGATCCTGCATGGGAGAAACCTAAAACTGAACCACTATGTAAAACGTGGACTCCAGTGTGTCTGGTAATAGTCTGATTATTCTCCAAAATTAATTAATTTATTTTTTTGCTGAAATTTTAGAAGGTTGCTAGATCACATGAAATTCTAGTGAGATCAACCAAGTTTTTATATTAAAAAAAATCCATATCTCATTTGTGATTTCACCTTAGTTCAGCATTCTCATCAAAAATCAAATAACATTTTAGGGTGAAATAGCCAAAGTCTTGCAAAATTTTCAGGTTGGAAAGCTTGCTAACCCTTGATATAAAGCTGTAATCACTATTTTGGAGGTGACTTTTAAAACTTCAATTACAATTTTACCACTAGGTCAACAAAATTATAGTATTAATTTTATGGTGCAATTTCGTAATTTTAGAATTTTGAAATCTGCTCTCTGTGAAAAGAACAGGGACAATTATTAAGGTAATATTTATTTCCAATGGCAATTGGCTTATTAAAATGTGTATATTCCTTTATAGTGTGGTAACATGGCGAGAGAAGGATTGAGAGTTCTTGTAGTAGCAAAGAAATCCCTGTCTGAGGAGCAATATCAAGATTTTGAGGTAAGAAAATTAAACATGAAATAAAGTTGTTTACAGTTAACCTATTTTAAAAAGGTTAACATGAATATCTCATTTACCTCTGAAATAAGCAGGGAAGTGCTTTTTAAATAAGTTAAAATGTAAACTACTGTGTTTGCTGTTCCCTTTTCTTGGCAAAGATGGAATTGGCTATCGTCCATCATGCATTGGCAACTTGGTTAGATAGAATATATACCACTTATCTTATTATTTTATTGGATGTCTGTTTTAGGATTCCAATCCCATAAGCTGTTTCTTATCTTGAAAAATGTAAGTAAGCTTTTCTATATTTGATGCCCTCCAGAACTGAGGCTTTATCTCCCATAATTCCCCTACCAAAATAGCAATTGCCAAGAATTCTGGGAGAAAGTTCATCTACATGGAAGGCATCAAGGGTAGAATAGCTAAGATAGTTTACATTGACACAATATGCTTAATTTGGTTACTAAATTAAGCTATATTCTAAGTACACATGATATGTATAAACTAATCCAGTGGTCAGGATTTGCACTATACACTAAACCACCAAAATACCTAAGCAAAGTTAATAGTCAATCTAGGCATGCTGTGCAAATGCAGCCCCTAAATCTTAAACTGGTCTGGTTAAGTGAGCTGTACAAAATACTTCTATAACACATATATCAAGGAAGGGTATAGGCCAAACAGGAGGCATGAATGTTTCATAAGAAGATTAAATGATATTTACTCATGTAATGTGGCTGTATCACTATTATCCTTCTCATCTTTTCTACTACCTTTCCCTATTGGTATCTTATGATTATTTTACTTTGCTGTTTGTATGTAAACTGAGAGCTTATGCACTGGAGTCAAATTTCTTGTGTGTCCAATCACACTTGGCCAATAAAGAATTCTATTCTATTCTATTCTATTCTATTCTATTCTATTCTATTCTATTCTATTCTATTCTATTCTATTCTATTCTATTCTACTCCACTCCACCTCTACTCTACTCTACTCTACTCTACTCTACCCCATCCCATCCCATCCCATTCCATTCCAATCTAGATTATCAGTCCAAATTGGCATGTCAAGGGGAAAGGACGGAGGGCAGCTGGTTGTGAAAGGACATATTGTATTGTCTTCTGCTCCACCACCCTTGATGATACTATATTATTTATTCCAGGATGTTGAAGGACAAAGGCTAACATAAAAATGACTTACGACATGAGGGTTGCTCATGGATGTGCTCCTAGTGTATCAGTGGAAGCCAGCTGGCAACTTAAGGGCCACATCAAACTTGTGGATGGCAGCCAGTTGCCTCACCAGTCTGCCCTGTTCTTCTCACTGATAAAGATTCTTGTAATGTGGGCCTGTCTCTTCCTATCTGGCTTTAGGAGGGAGGGGAATATATATATATATATATACACACACACACACACACACACACACACACACACACATACAAAGGTTACCCAACCCATATGTTTCCTGCTCTTTTCCTCCTCTTCCCTACCCAATAAATGTGTTGGCAATTATAAGTAAAGGAATATATTTGCTTCCACACCTAGTTTTTTTTTTTTTTAAATAGTAATTGCCCAGTTTTTTTAAATGAGGCAGATACTTTTTCCCCAGCTGGAACTGCATTTTATTTCATCTTCTCTGCCTCCTCTGAGCCACCAGGGGGCATGGTGGGATACAGTGACATTTTGGTAGGGAAATGATCCAAAATTTTGATGTGTTTGTAAGCATGCTTTATTTTGTTTAGCTTTGTTGGACACTTGAAGAAAGACAAGAAGATAGATCCTTAAGCCCTGCGAAGGCTTAATGCACCTTATTTTTACATTTGCGGGGTTAAAAATGGAGACCGAAAATTATGCTGCTGAATTTTAGCTTTTTGCTGCCAAAACCGAGTAGCGCAATCTGGCTGCTTTAAAAATAGAGGTGGGAGGCATTGCTGCTGGCTCTTGGGGAGATTTGGCCTGCTTTTCCTTATTCACAGTACTCTGTTCTGATGTAAGCACCTAGTGCAGGGGTAGGCAACCCTGGCTCTTTTATGACTCGTGGAGCATGGCTGGCTCAGGAATTCTGGGAGTTGAAGTCCACGAGTCATAAAAGAGCCAAGGTTGCCTACCCCTGATGTAGTGAATGAACAAGTAGTAACCGGGCGTCTCTTGCGATCTTCCTTAGGCCCGCTACGTCCAAGCAAAATTAAGTGTCCACGATCGCTCCCTGAAGGTAGCCACCGTGATTGAGAGTCTGGAGATGGAGATGGAGCTGCTCTGTCTGACTGGAGTAGAAGATCAACTACAGGTGGATGTCAGACCAACTTTGGAAACTCTGAAAAATGCTGGCATTAAGGTATGATTGAAACCAAAAGTGTAAGATTTACTGTTTTCCCCCCAATCTGAGAGGATATGGATGAATAAACATGAGAGAACTATAATGAGAGGGAGAATGTGGCATTTCATATCATTAGAGGCACTTCAATAATGCTGTCAGTATATAAAGCACTACAGGTAGTACTTGACTTACGACCAGTCACTTAGCAATCATTTGATGTTACGACAGTTCCCCAAAAAGGTACTTGCTAACTGGATTCAAAGTTCTGACAGCACCCCCCCCACACACCATGATCACATGATCACATTTTGGGCACTAAGAAACTAGCCTGCATTTACAGCTGTTTAGAGCATCCCCAGTCACATGATCACAATTTACTATTTCATCAGAAACCAGCATTTATTTCCAGTTTCCAACAAAAAGTGCCCATTGCAGATAATGCTTACCAATCATGGCATGACTTTCAACCATAATCTGAGCTCAGTTATGGTTGTAAGTCAAAGACTACCTGTATCAATTAAGTATCTACATTGTTTACAGAGTCACATTTCAGAATTCTGGTTTGATATTTCTACAGACTTTGGTGGAAGAACAGCATTTCCCTTCAATTAACAAAATAATTTCTTTGAGCAGAATGTTCCACTGAAATAGGAACTATATTCTATTCTGCTTGTAAGAAGCACAAAGCAGGGATTTGACAAAGATGGAATTACAAAGACTTCCCACCACTATGGGTGCTGCTGCTTATCTGACTGAGAGTTGGAGTCCATCTACTCAGAACGTTGTGTTGGGGAAAAAATTATGCCTTAGGAATCACACCACAGCTAGCCTTTCCCCATGTCAGGAAAGCAAATATTTCAAATCAGTTTATAACCAAGATACCTGTCTCATCCCAAGTAACATGTAGTTCAACTGCTTGCCATGATTGTCAGCATTACCAAGTAAACTGAACTATCTTGTACAAATATCTGTGTGTATATAGTATAAAGAAAGTACTGAACTGTGTTTCCTTTTAGCTAACATGAAGCCATGTGTGATATATAGAAAGCCTGTTTAAAACCATGGGACTTTGGATTCCTGTCTCAAGGAATAACTTTGGAAAAAATGGCAGCATGAAGCTTATGCTTATTTTACAATTTTCCATGAAGGCAAGATCTGAATTTTTGTGAAATATGGGAGAATGGATATAACATCCAAGATGTAGAGAAGTACCTAAGGCCATGTTTGTGCTACATAGAAATGCTTCTCAAACTCTTGGCTTTGCCTATGGAAAATGTTCAATTTCTACCCATATCAATCATAATGCTTCCCAGTGTGAAGTCTCATATCCCATAATAGATTAGACATCTCAGGAAAAGGCACGGCTGTTTTAAAGACTTGGCATCAAGTAGTACATGAGTGCTCTTTTAAGTTGGCTGGAGAATTCTGGGAGTTGAAGTCCATACTTCAAGCAGCCAAGATTGAAACACATTGCAGTATACTATAAAATCATCATAAGCATCAAAGATTAGTTTGCAATTTACAACTGGCAATACAAAGCAAAATGTGTAGTAGAATTTATGGCAGGTTACATGATTATATACCATATCACTAGTGCTTATTCCGAAAGATGTATTTTCCAACAACAGCAACAATATCACATTGTGCAATATGCAAAGCAGGCCAATTCTGTTTGATTCCACTGACTATTAAAAAGTTTAATTAGAGACTCGCACACATATTTTGGTTGCTACGTGAAAATCTCTATGAAGTTGTCCACATGGTTACTGTCTCCTCATGATCTACAATGACTCATTATGTGGATGTGGCAATTTTCTCCATGTCACCACAGACCTTTCTGGTTGCATCTTCTACATACAAACAGCTTGTTGCACTGAGACAGCTGCCACATGGAGCAGTTCAAAGCTGCCTTTAAAGAACATCCATTACTGCATTATTGGTGCCATTTGCTTAGCTACAGCTTCCATGTCCAAAAATGGGCAAGGTTGACTCATGTTTTTGCGAAATATATCTCTTAGATCCCAGTATGATATTAAAAGGGTTTTTTAACAGTTACTTAAAAATTCCATGTAATTTATTTAAAATATGTAATTGCTAAAATTGTTTTTGTCAATTGCATTTATATAAAGCTTTAAAAAATCATGGAGTTTGAAAAGACTATTGAGACTATCATGCCTAAATCTCTGACTGAATGCAGGATTTCAGTTATATTTTAATTAAAATCCTGTCCAGACTGGCTTGACTACACCTAATTAATGCTGAGAAATCCTCATGGATAGTATTTCACCACTTACTCCCTGTACCCTACTGGTCCCTAACCCAATGCTCTTACCTTGCAAAGTGAAGCGAGGCCCTTGAGGTAGTAGAGGCTACATACTTTTGTTATGGGACTTACTTTTAGATTTGTACCTGTCCCTAGTTTGTCCAACTCTCATATCCAGAAGACAAGGACTCTAGTTACAACCTACTCGGTATAAAGATGCAAGTTCCTTTCATTTGTTTTCACAGTGCCTATATATTAGATAGTTGAAAAAAAACTATGATATGCCAGGGAGGATGGGTCTCCTCCAGTTTTTCTAAAGGTCTCCCACCCTAGTGCCAAGAAAAACAGATGGGCATGTCCATGAAATCACGGGAAGTCATCTATCTCTTGACTCAAGGGAGATTTTTGTATTTTTATATGGTCATTTTACTAATTTGATTGATTGATTTGTTAGATTTATATATCTTTCCTCCAGGACCCAAAGGCAGCATACTTAGTATTGCCTCTTCTATATTTTCCCCACAACAATAATTCTGTGGGGTAGGTTGGTGTGAGAGAGAATCATTGACCTATCACCCTATGGTCACATTTTCCATAGCTGAAAATAGACAAACCTGAGTCTCCAGGATCCTAGTCTTAACCACTACGCCACACTGGTTTCTAAATATCTAAAATACAATACATATATTAACTTTCCTACAAGCTTAACATTTATTAACTGCCTTTTTATTATTTACCATTATTTATTTGCTATATTTAATGCAACCTGGCTTCCTTTCAGAGTTGAATGTGGTTTAAATATGAGCTTCTTCTAATTTTATTCCCAGAACATCAGCCTTGTAAGCTGACTTGAGAAAAAGCGATCCACATAGTGAGCTCTGTGGTTGAGTGGGATCTTGAATCTGAGTCTCCAAGAGAGTCTGGTCCAAAGCAAACCATTGCATTATACTGGCTCTTTGTTTCTATTCATGTGAGGTATTGAATTTTTTTTATTCTAGGTATGGATGCTCACAGGGGATAAACTGGAAACAGCCACGTGTACTGCTAAGAATGCACATCTGGTAACCAGGTCTCAGGACATTCATATATTTAGACTGGTGAGTAATACAAATAAAACTTAATTTACTTAGCACTTGTCCACGGAGCTTTATTTTGAATCGAGGGAAATAACATCAGCTTCACTGTGCATGTAGACCACAGCCTGAGCATATGATATAAGCCTAACCTTACTCCAAACATCACTGCATATGATGGGTTCTAGAAGCTGGAACATCAACAAGGAAAAAGAGCTCTTGTTTCTCCAATTTCTTGCAGATTCAAATTTATCAAGGTGCTTGGATCATTCCTGAAATAAGTTCTTTAACAAGGCAAAATGCAAGGCAGCAATGAATTTAATGAAGAAATGAAAAATGTTAAACTGGTTAATTCCCATTCTGATGGATTCCCCCCCCCCCCCAGATGTTACAGCAAGGCACTTTGGCTTATTTTCCAAATCCGCCCTTCATTGGAAACCAGTGTGAATGTTGTTTTCTTCTGCTTTGTCTTGCAAAAATAAATTATTGCTCATACTTGCTGTTCTGTAAAAGAAACTCTGCATCTCCCTGAAAATGCTTTTCTGAGAATTCTCTGCAAAATGTCAGGGCCCAAGACTTCATTGGGCAAAGCAAAAAAGGCCACTGCATTTCGGTAATATGGCTGTGCAGTAAATGTGAGATGCAGTATGATAAAGTTTAAGCTAAATTGTCTCAGGCAAAAGGACTGTACTGAGTCATTAGAGATGCAGATCTTTATGGATGCAAAGCCTGTCTTTGCTTTCATTTCTGAACCATATGATGTGTTCTTCCTCATGCTATTAGCTTTAGCTCTTTTAACACAGTGGTATTGAATTTCCTAAAGAGCACTAGAAATTATTCATCTTTGTCTTCCAGAGTTCTTTCAATAAACCCTCTCTCAAAATTGCCACAGGTTCATGGTGTTGACCAGGATGGAGCAATCTCTTGCCAAATTGTGATCATGGCTTTAAGAATAAAAAAGAGTGGGCTATGTTCAAGCATCCCTTGATTCTGATTATTCCATTCAAAGACCAGATCTGGTGACTTTTGCTGTAGAGATATGTGTACACAGACCCCAAACAAGCAAGAAGCAAGGTTGTTTTGGATCTGCTGTGCACATATACCCTCTGCTTGATGCAGGTATATACCACGGATACCTCTGCCAAATTTGAAATGTCCTTGTTTTCTTTGGATCTGAATACTTCATACTTCTGTTACCAAGTAATAATGCACTGATTATGTCAGAAAAATGTTTAGGTGAGAGTAGTGTAATATTCATAATCCAAATCTCTTCCTAGCATTATATGTCCTTTCCCCCCCAAACTGATCAGTGCTTTGTTTTTCGAGCCACTATTCATTCTTGAATTTTCTGGATAAGATCCATACTAATGGAAGTTTGTAGGCATTCAAAATTTGCAACACTTGAGTCACTTGTTGCTGCCTACAATCCTTGGATCAAATTGCTCCTCTGTGGCCTTTCACTGTGTAATGATCCTAATGAACGCCTTGATTTTCTGAGGAACTTCAGGAAACAAAATGCCAGAAAAATGCCTGGAGTGCTTTTGGAAGAAGGCAAAGGGTAAATCCAATTGAGAATGAATAAGAGCCTAGGGATTATTACATTCTGGTGATAAGAACAGTGAAATGTAATTATTTCTCCAGCTTTATCACATCCTCAAGGCCCAGTGAGCCTTTTTACTGTGACTCATTCCTTGCCGAGAACGAGCAAAATGCAGGATTTGTGTGCAGCCACCCTGGTTCTACTTGATCTCCAGCAGGTTTTAGTATCATCAAGCTGGTATCCTGCGGGTATTAGGAATGGGGGTCAGGGTACTTTGATGGGTCTCTTCCTTTCTCTGTGGTTGATTTCAGTCAGTGTTGAGAGTTAGGAGGGAGTTTGGGCAATTGCCCTTTCTACATGAAGCCACTGGATGAGTTCATCTGTCGGTTTGGAATACAGTATCAAGCAATACACTTGTTATACCAATTATACATCTCACACTTCTTAAGGTCTTGTCCTGGTATCTGCAGGCTGTGTGAATCTGAATAGAACAGGCTTAGGCTCAATCCTGACAAGATTGGGTGGTTGTAGTAATTTCCGCCCCCCCTCCAAATCTGGAATGCTTCCATCCATAACCGAACTTGAATAGGACTGCACTACCCCTTCCAAGATTAGTGCATAATTTGGAGATCTTTCTGGATTCACCACTTCGGCTTGAATATCAGGTAGCAGCTGTGGTGAGGAAGACTTTCCGCACAAATTAATTTAATATGTCAGTTGTGCTCAAGGTTGAAAGTCCTTAAGACAGTCAATCATACTTTGGTCACCTTATGTTTGAACAACTTCAGTGCACCCTTGAAGATCACTTGAAATGTAGTGCATGGGCAATTATGAGCATGCTGTGATACGTTCAAGTAATACTTCTGCATCATAAGCTGCAATAGGTGCAATTTAAGGTCCTAGATATTACTTATAAAGCCCTTCATGGAATAGGTCTTGGTTATCTGAGTGGCAGTCTATTTTCTACCTGTCTCATGCATTCTGATCTAGGTTAGAATCTCCCAGATCCTATAGGTTATGGGATGGGAACCAAGCATCTTTTTGTCATGGTGCCTGCTCTCTGAAACACCATCTCTCTCTTACACACACACACCCAAGGTTTACATATATGTTCCTGGTTCCACTTAACAAACTTTTAAAACCTGGCTGTTCCCAAGGCCGTGACTTAGAGTGAATGATGGCTCCTTGTAATGGCTTGTTAGAGTCTCCTAACCTTAACTTTTTTTTTATTTTCAGGTTAAGTATATTCTTATTTTTATTGTCTTATTTTCTCACCTATTCAGAATTATGACAGATTGGGGCAGCCTACATATGTACTAAATAAATAAATAAGTCCTGCAAGTGCAACAGTGGCAGGGCTTGGATCAGGACACCATACCTGCCATCTGGCACATTTGACACCCATGTGACATTAAGCTACCCGTTCTCTCCTGTCCAGGTGACCAACCGTGGAGAAGCACATTTGGAGCTAAATGCCTTCCGCCGCAAGCACGACTGTGCCCTGGTGATTTCTGGGGATTCCTTGGAGGTGAGAGGTGGACTAAGCTTCAGCTCCTGCTTGCGCAGCAAGTGCCAGCTTTGGCCAGAAAGGTCTTTGCATAAATTCCTGTAGTGAAGTATGTCTCAATCTTGACAACTTTAAAAAGTTGTCCCAGAATTCTTAACTTTATCTTAAAGTTGCCAAAATTGAGAAACCCTGATCTGGAACATCAAGCTCTTACAAGGGACAGGGGTTGGTAAAAGAAAGAATCTCTGCATCCTATTTACCACTTTTGTTTCTTTCATGGAATAGGTATGCTTGAAATACTATGAGTATGAGTTCATGGAACTGGCTTGCCAATGTCCGGCAGTCATCTGCTGTAGATGTGCCCCAACACAAAAGGCTCAGATTGTACGCTTACTCAAGGAGAGAACTGGGAAGCTGACCTGTGCAGTAGGTAGGTGTTAATCCTCACACAAGAGACAACAAGGAAGCAAAGATTATACATGCTTCAGTATCTTTGAGGCTATTCTTGGGGTATCTATATATTATTGTTAATTGTGTTCTTCACAAGGAATGTCCAGTTCTCATTTACAATGACCTCATTAAAGGGCCTCTTTCTTTCTAGTTTCTGGCTACCTGGGCTGAGTTGCCATTTGTAGGATAAGCTATCAATGGATTCTCCTTCAGTCTTTCAGTTGTTTCTTCTTATCTTTACTTTCCCAGCCTTCCCGCAATCTTTCATAGTAGGGATTCTCTAACTCGATTCTCTAGTTTACCATATTTTTTGAATATTGGTTCGTCAGTGCATAAAAACAGAGGAAACACCACACACCTAGGGTTTCCCATTTCTCTGGAGTTTTTTAAAAAAAGGTTAGAGAGTTTCTGAAGCAACCCTCCATGAAATGAAAGGAACCACTGCCTGAAGGAAAGCAAATCCATGTATGTAGTTATGAAGCAGCACTTGTAATAAGCATGTGTAATAAGTTGGCACAAAATACAGAGAAAGATGGAAAGGATCATTGAGTCTAATCTCCTGATCACTTGCAGAAGAGCAACTAAACCGCACTATCATAATAATAGGCATTTTGGTGTTCTTGGGACAGATCGTCATGGAGAAAACTGTGTGGTTGCTAAGAGTTGACAGTGATTTGATGGCTCTTAATCAATTGAGTTTACAGGAAGCCCTCAACTTACCCACATAGCCGAGGCCAGAATTTCCATTGGTAAGGAAGGCAGCTGTTAAATGGTGGTGCCTTATTTTTATTATGTTTTTCCCACAGTTGTTAAGCAAATCACTGCAGTTAAGGAAATCACATGGTCATTAAGTGAATCCAGTTTCCCCCATTGACTTTGTTTCTTGGAAGCAGGCTGGGAAAGTCACAAATGACAATCACATGGCTCCAGGACACTGCAACCATTGCAAATTGCCAAGTGCTTGAATTTTGAGTATGTGACTGTGAGGATGCTGCAATGGTCGTAAGTGCAAGGACCAGTTTTAAAGCAAATTTTTTCAGTGCCGTTGCAACTTTGAATAGTTATTAAACAAATAACTATTGTTTAATAGTTGTTGTTGTAATTTGAGCGCTACTTGCATTAAGAAGACTTGCCATTCTTTGCAACAAAGCATTATCGTTGTGCTAAATCTCCAGAGTTCTGGTTCTCAGAGAGATGAAGTAACTCTTTGTCATCCTATATTAGGTGGCAGAGTGTTTGAGAGGCATAAATCCAGCAGTATTGTTGGCCCTTGTTGTTAATTGTGCTTTTTGTTCCCATAGATTTAAATTTAAATAGGTTCCAGTCAAGATAAAAGCTACAATTCTTCCTAAATTTATTCTTAATGAAAGAAAATCACATTTTAAATTCAGTCCCTTATTACATACATACAAAAGTTTTCTTAAGGGGATTTTCACTTGGAAATTGTAGTTCAAACTTAAGTGGTTATCCTTCCCCCAGAATCTGTGGGTTTGAATTTTAGCAGCCATGTTTTAGTATCTCTGATTTTCTTGAAAACAGGCACTGTGAAAAGTGTTCTGCTGTTTTATTTAGTTATTCCACTTGCTTACTTCACACCTCATGATCCTGAGAAAAAACACAGTAGTTAAAACATGAAAACAGACAGTGAAACCTGTATTGAATGACCTGGAATAATTGTCCAAAGGAACGCTAAACTGCTAGCGTTCAATTAGAATATCCAGCCTGCTGTTCTTTTCATTTTATATTGTATGTATAATGAAGCTCTGGAATCCATTATTGTAACCATCCAAAAGGACGTCATTGCCAGCTAGGAACTCTAAAGCTAAAATGATTTGTCTCTTTATGGTTAGCTATAGCAGACCAAGTAAAACCTAAGCAGATCCAGCCTTGGCTAGCAAGGGGAACTGGAACTGGCTTTCAACCATAAAGAAAACGGCAAAAATGGGATATTCTTATGATTCAGTACTTCCACCATTTGCCCTGTGTGGCTTCCAGATAACTTGTGAACTTAAGCCAGATGTGTTTAGGATGTATCCACTTCATCCCATGGAGGAAATTTATTGTTTCTTTGTCTCTCTGAGGGTGTTTTTTTTAATTTCACCTGCTGGTTGAAAATCATTAGCTTGTGGTAATGAGCTGTTTCGTTCAGATGCATCCAGGTAAACTTGTATGTTCATACACTCAACTTGATTCTATGCCCATCACTTGGGCTTGTACAAAAGTATCTGGAAGCATTCCCATGTTGGAACTGTCGCTTTGCAGCAACACAATGTACTTTATGCCCAATTAGACTGAAAGTATTGGTTTTAATACCAGGAGTAGTTCCAAACAGAGTCTTATTTTACAACTGTCTTACTCACATACATTTACACTGTTGACTCAGGAACAGTTTTCCCACTTATAATTCCCCATGTTTCTCACCATGGCTTCTGTTTTCTTTTTACCTTGATAAGTCCTTTAAAATGGAAACATACTGTAGAATAGCTACGGATTGGACTTTGATCGCTAACATTCTAAGCCACTCAAAGTTTTCCTGAATTGCCTTGATATTTTCTGTTACAGGTGATGGGGGAAATGATGTCAGTATGATTCAGGAGGCAGACTGTGGTGTTGGTGTTGAAGGAAAGGTAAGTCAAAGCATGATGTTTCATTGGAATGCCACAGTCATAATGATAGGGGTTTCAGGAGAGAGGGAGGAATGCACTTTAATTCAACGGATAATTTCACAATCAAATTATCATCTGATTTATGGAACACAACCTTGGAAGTTCTCTGGACAAATAGTTTCTTTATTCATCAAAGACCCCTCCTCCTTTGACCATAGTTGCTTATTCCCATTTTGAGATGAGAAAACCATAAAAATGTAAGTATAATCCTTAAAATAGACATGACGCAGTGGAAAAGTAAAAAAATAAATAAATTCTGAGCCCACAGATGTGATTTGGTCCCACTCACAGTTTTGGCCGGTGTTAAGCTTTTAGGCTTTTGGCCCCAATTTAAGACATATGCTTTTGATTAAACTGTCATCCTGCACCTTTCTGGTCTGATTTTATTCCCTAACTGAAGAGTCTGGGGCATTATTTTCCCCTCTTATCCAAAAGAATTATGAAATGATCTTGAGATAGTCATGACATCCTTAACATCCAGTGAGAGCTGAGATGATATCACATGGGTCATAATATCAAAACGGTTTCACTTAATGCCCATTAAGTGATTCACTTAACCACAATGATTCACTTAAGAACCATGACAAAAAAAGGTCCTAAAACCGGGTACAACTCACTTAATCACTGTCTTGCTTAGCAACAGAAATTCTGCTCCCAATTGTGGTCAATAAATAGAAGTAGAAAACCGAAAACGATTTTGCAAATGCCTCAGATTTTCTAAGGCTACATTCTGCATGGGATTGCATGGCAGTAATAAACTCTACTAAACATACCATGTTCACTGCTGTCAGATGCCTGATTGGAATGATCTTATGGGCTGATAAAAGGAGAACTAGCTACAGTATACAACAAGAATGATGCCTGCTCTTGTGGCAGGAGAATTCTGGTTTTTGTTCTAACAGTGGAAGGTCTTAATATTTTTGTTTCATGGTATTCCTAGGAAGGAAAACAAGCTTCTCTTGCAGCAGATTTCTCCATCACTCAGTTTAAGCACCTGGGCCGATTACTGATGGTGCATGGAAGAAACAGCTACAAAAGATCTGCTGCTCTCAGCCAGTTTGTGATCCACAGAAGTTTATGCATCAGTACCATGCAGGTCAGTGATGTTCTTGTACCGTTTTTAGTGTCCTCTGATCCTTTGACTCCAAACAGGATCAGGATGTGAATTAAAAAAAAAAAAAAAAAGCCCACACAAGATTTTTACTTCACTCTGTCTAAGTGGCAGAGAAAATAGGAGAAATCAATTAAACAAGAACTGCTTGGTCATTAAGTTCCTACTTTCTCACAGTCAGTTGATATGGTTTCTCTTCCATGTGTGGAAACAGATAGTAGTTTTTCAGTGAATTAAGCTACCACTTAGCTTTTCATTTTATATGTTTTATATGTAGGTTATTTGCATCACTTATACTCTTAATATAATAATTTTATTACATTTTAAAGTAATAAGGAGGAGAATAGGATAAAAAATATAGGAAGAAGCAAAAATACAAAAAAAGAGAGAATAATTTCTGACTTGTTTTAAAGCAGATACAAATAAAAAATAATTCAACTCTTGCTTTATAGTTCCATTGTTTATAATCTATGAACATTAATAGTCCCCATATATCATAACCTATATATCATAATTTCATTTTTACTGTTTGTGCAAAAAGTCTAAAAGGAGCTTCCAATTAGCATTAAAATTAGTCAATGCCTTTTCTCTAATCAGAGGCTCAGTTTCAATATTTCAGCAACACCATCAGCTTTACCAACCATTCTTCCATTGTAGATGATGTTAAAGTGAAATAAAGTTATTATTCTATTCCATTCTAACTCTTCCCACTATTGGGGATATAAAAGTCTTAGGAAAAGAATACATTGCAGTTTTTCCAAATTTTTATCCATAAAAATTTTAGCAGAAATATCTCTAGTCTTGATTGTATATTGACCTTCAAAAATTTTTTGAATTATTGAGTAGGCATTATATCTTTTGGATCCTATATTTTTAAAATCCCTCTTTCATTAGGATTTAATTTGCCATGAACAATTTTCTAAATTGCCAAATCTTTGTGGGTAGAGAAGCCACCTGTGGTCTCTTCTCATTCCTGAGCCTTGAGTGTTAATCTTCACTACTTGCCTTATTTGACTAATGATGGAGCACCAACTCTTTCTATTAAGAGATAGCTGAATAGATAGTTGTCATTATTTTCTTTTTGCTTTGAAGTCTAATAATTCCTTGTATTTTATTCCATAGGCAGTTTTCTCTTCGGTGTTCTACTTTGCTTCTGTTCCGCTCTATCAAGGCTTTCTCATCATTGGGTAAGAGCCAAACCATTCCCTGTGGTATCTTTAAAATGTATAATAAGATTTGTTTGAAGCCTTCCTGAGTTTGAAAGCGGTCATGGCAAGGGTAGCACAGGCTAAAATGTTGTGCTCTTTCCTTCCTGCCTCTACTGCTGTTATCGGAATGAAGCAGGACACTTTGAAGATGCACAGTTTCAAAGCAACTTTAATCCAGCAACCATTAAAAGCACATGGTTCCCATTAGGATCAATTTTAGTTGTTAAAGCAACTTTTGTATCCCAGAAGCAATGGTATAAATTGTTGGCTGGGGGGGGGGGGGTTTGTCTTTTCTGAAAGCAAAAGGCAGGGCACAGATTTTTTTTTAAGTAAACAATCATGCAGCCATGTTTTCATAACATGACTCTTGCAGAAAGAAAATAAAATGAATGCCAGTGTCCCACCTCACCATTTTTGGGGGTGAAAGCCCAGCAGCATAGGGAAGGTTTGAGGCTGATTCCTGTTGCGTTTGGGATAAAATTAAGTCCTGAATCTGTGGACCATTTCACACATAATATAGCAGCATACTTTGAGGTATGGTTCAAAATATAATCTGGCCAAGAAAATGCAAGCAGTTCCAGCTCTTGATATGTACATGTGCATTTTTTTTGCAAATCTGGTTACCACATTTTTGCACCACATAATGTATATTTTAGAGGTCAAGCAGCTCTTAGACATTAGCAATGGGGGAAAGTTAGTAGCTGAGTAGTAGAGTATCTAATATGTACTCAGACAGTTCCAAGGATTGATCTTTTCCAATTCAAAGCTTCCGGTAACACAAGCTGAGAAACACAACCGATCAGCAGAGCAGAGAGGGAGGGAGGGAGAAGGGAAGGAAGGAAGGAAGGAAGGAAGGAAGGAAGGAAGGAAGGAAGGAAGGAAGGAAAGAAAGAAAGAAAGAAAGAAAGAAAGAAAGAAAGAAAGAAAGAAAGAAAGAAAGAAAGAAAGAGAAAGCAGAAAGTCTTCTAAAATAAACTCAAAGTGGAAAAAAATTATAAACTTCAGCTGGCATTTCTTGTGTTCCTGCTTTTAGATATTCTACCATCTACACCATGTTTCCAGTATTCTCTCTAGTGCTGGACAAAGATGTCAAAGCAGTCGTGGCCATGTTGTATCCAGAACTCTATAAAGATCTCCTGAAGGTTCAAATTTCTTCCATTTCTATTCCTTTCAAATTTCTGCATGTGGCTTTGAAGTTAACATATACGAGAAAGATTTCATTTTCATTTTTCTGCCCTTTCAAATTTTAGGGAAGGCCATTATCTTATAAGACGTTTTTGATCTGGGTCTTAATAAGTATCTATCAAGGTAAGAGGTTTCCTTTATTCATCAGAGTGTTTTTGAAAATCTGAAATAAATTTTTCTCCAAATTTGGCTTCATATAATTCTCTGAGAAAAAATAAATTCAGCTATTTTTTAGTTTCACTAGTTATAAAGAGAGCTGGCAAATTTTGGAGAATTTCGAATTTGCTCTCACTGACCACCAGGAGTCCCATTTAACTTCTGCTGACTTATTGTTTTTCTCCAGAGGTTGGTGCAGTCTTGCTTTCCTTCTCAACAGAAAGCTTGTAGAGTGCCTGATAAAACTAGTGGTCTGGAATAAGCAAGAGATATGCAGACCAAGAGCAGATTTATTTTTAGTGGCAGTGTGAACACAGATAGAGCAAGGATCAACAATTTCATAGGATCAGATGGACTCCTGTTGGTCTATGTCAGGGGTCCTCAACCTTGGCAAGCTGGCTGAGGAATTCTGGCAGTTGAAGTCCACAAGTCTTAAAGTTGCCAAGGTTGAGGACCCCTGGTCTATGTCACCTGAGGCTTATCATTGGCAGAACTATGATACCCTTTTCTGCAATGATGGAATTACATGCAGCAGAGATGAACCCAACAAGCTTCTTTGGTTCTGTTGTTACATTTCCACCTTGAAACTGCTGGTATGTTAAAGTGATTCTGATGAAGACCATTGCAGTCCCTTCTGCCAGATGCTCCAAGGCAGATCATTGTTACTTGTCTTAGGTTCCTCCAATCCGTAAGTCAAATGCTGCATACAAAAACTGTTTCGTCCAGCTTACATGCTCCAGTCGTATAATCCTTTCTCCATTTTTCTACTAAGTACTGCAGCTTCACTGTGCTTCAAGTAGCCCAGAGCTATAGTTCCTAGAGCTTTGCTGCATGCTTACTATTCATATTGAGTTACATCTTGAAGTTGTACTTTTTAGGGATTTGCCTTTCATCAGCAGAATTTCTGCTGATCGCCAGAAGAAAAAAAGAATGACATGCCTAGAACCCAAGAAGTAACTGAATTCAGCGAAGGAATTAAAATGACTTTGTCTTGAAATAAGTTTTCTGGCTACAAAATAGCGTAGTAATGGCTTAACTCAGGAAGTAAGATAGGGATTCTGCCCTTGTACTCTGAATGCAAAGCAAACGAAGATTGCAACCTGTTGTCCACTCATTTTCACGTACATCTTGTCATTCACAAGGACAACCACTTGTCCCATCTTTGATACATTAGAGAAGCAAATTCAGGAAGATAAACATGTTGGGATGGTAATAGAGATGTGTGAGACAACGTTCTAACAGAAATTGTTTTCAAAGGCTATATCAATGCTGGAAACAATATGAAAACCTTCATCTAGAACACACAACTTCTGATCAGTCAGAAAAAATGAGACATCGTGGGAAAGATTTCTAAGCCAAGACTCTTCTCCTATTACGTTCTGTGGGTCGAATGACTTCACTCCCTTTATGGATCACACCATGCAATTTGGCTAGTAGCTATTGTCCAAGAATGGCCCCAAATTGAGCTCTTCCCAGATGGTGGAAAGATTATTCTCTGAATCTGTATTTTATGGCTTAATCTTGAGTCACTGCTCAAATTGCTTTTCAAATTAGGCTGCGGATTACTCATCAGTGTAGATTACTCATGCTGAGGTCATGACTTATGTCTGCAGCTGAATCTCTAGGATGCTCTAAAGCCATTCTCTGATCAGCGAGAAGCAGAATGCAAAGTCACTCTTGTCTTCCCATTCTATCTCCTTACATGCTCAGTTATCTTCAGTGTGTGTGTGTGTGTGTGTGTGCGTGTGTGTCAGTGAATGTAAGTTCCTGCTGAATTTAATGGGCCTAGCTTCTTAAGTATGCTTTGGATTATAGCTAAGAATCAATTACAAGTCCCTCTGAGCCTTAAGCTAGAAAGTTTCATCTATTCTGCAGATATGCATAAAATTATGAATGATATGATGTGAAGTTGGATTGGAAGAAATGTTTCCATTTCTTTTGTGAGAAAGGTGTAGAGCATAGGAAAGATGACCTGGATTGAGATATGCAGAAATTATTTACCTAGGCAAAAGGAACTGAAACAGTTTTTAAAATCTAGAACAAGAGATAGCATTCAGAAGTGGCTTAGGCAGATGCCTCCCTCATTCAATGAACTATAAGAAGGAGGAAAAGGCACAACACAAACAGATTTGCAAGATTCTGTTGTTATAGCCAATCTCAATAAAAAGGAATTTTGCCATTTAATGAAGTTGTTTTCCTGAGGTATAAGTCCTAGCATTGTATTGTCACAAAAAAACCCTTTTTGTGTGTCTGAACTCCGCAATTTTCAAAGCTTTTGATTATTTCAGAATAGTTCAAGAATCATTTGGGGAAATTACTTTCCATTCAACCAGGTACATTAGATAGTCAACAACTATTATCATTTTGGTTGATGCTGTAACTCCTTTCATTTCAGGCAGCATAATTATGTATGGTGCACTTCTGCTTTTTGAGTCTGAATTTGTCCACATTGTGGCAATTTCCTTCACATCCTTGATCCTCACCGAACTGTTGATGGTGGCACTGACCATCCAGACATGGCATTGGCTCATGATAGTGGCAGAATTACTCAGTCTGTCATGCTACATTGCCTCATTGGTCTTCCTACATGAATTTATTGGTAACTATGTTTTGTGTTGTCTTCCTTCAAACTTTCTCAATTATTTGCAAAATGGGAGAATACCAATCTTCTGCTAAATAATGAAGCTGGAAATTGATGATCATTTTATCTGTTACATTTTTATTGAAATTGTAAAATATAAGGTATGAGTTATTTTGCAAGATACCCAAAGAACTGAAATGGTTTTTGATCAAGCATCAGGAAAGATTATCTCTCATGACTGGAAGGTCAAGATTAACAATAAGAGGCAGTGTGTATCTAGGCTATTTGCTTAGGGACTGGAAATTGAGGAGGATGAGTTATAAAAGCTGGTATGAGAAGCCTTCTAGAAAATAAAAGCTTCACAGCTGTTCTGAAATTACAGAGATGGGAAATCACTCAACTATCCCCCAGAGTTTCTCTAATTAATACTCTTTTTATCAAGTAATGTATGTTTACTAGGGGCTTATTTTCCATCTGTTGTTAGTCGGGTCATGTAGTGAAAATGGAACAAATCAGGTAATTGAAGGGTTTCACAGTAGAGAGAGAGCATTTAGACCATTACAGCTCTTTTGCAAAGCGTTCTTGAATTTACAGCGAGACAACTGTCCTTGATTGACAGTTGGAATGGTCCCAAATCTGAAACTGTCAGTACCGAATTTAAGTTAAATTTCCCAAATTTCTATTTTTATTCTCCACTTCTGTACAAAACTTGATGAACAGGTTTATTAAAAAATATTCCACAGCCCAAAATATCCCTCTGGATGCCAAGTTTCAGGTACAAGTTTGTACTTCAAAGTATAAGTCTCTTTTATTTTAAAAAGTCAGAGTTTTATTTTCCAGTTATAATTTAAATTAGTTTCACCTGATCTACCTTTTAAAATGTCCAGAAATTATTTACCAAGAAAATATTTTATGGAATAATCCTGTGCCAAAAAAGCTATGGGAAACGGCAGTAGCACTTAGAGTTATATACCGTTTCACAGTGCTTTATGGTGGTTTACAATATCAGCATGTTGCCCCCCAACAATCTGGGTCCTCATTTTATCTGGGAAGGATGGAAGGCACAGTGAACCTTGAGCTGCTCAGAATTGGACTCCTGGCAGCAAACAGTGAGTTAGCTTGCAGTACTGCATTCTAACTAATGGTTAAATCATTATTTCAATCATTATATCTTCCCCTAGAATTGCCCCTTGGTAATGTAAAGGAAATGGGGGCAGGGGTAATGGCTCAGTCTTTAAAGATGCTGAGCTTGTCAACTGGAAAGCTGACAGGCTGGGTTCAAGCCCCAAGCCCCTGAGAACGGGTGAGCTCCCATTACTTGTGCCAGCTTCTGCCCACCTAACAGTTCAAAAGCAGGTGAATAGGTACCACTTCAGTGGGAAGGTAACTGTTCCATGTGCCTCAGCGTATAGTCATATTGGCCACATAACCACGGAAAAGTCTTCAGACAATGCTGGCTCCCTCAGCTAAGAAACAGTGATGAGCAGCATCCCCTAGAGTTGGAAACAATTGGGACAGAGGAAACCTTTACCTTTTAATGTAAAGAAAAAAATGTCCACTGCCCCTGAAAGTTTGCTGGCAGAATTCTACAAACATTGACCCAGGGCTATCAGAACTGTGCTATGAAAGTTTGCTTTGCTTTGCTTTTTTTCTGTTCTTTTCTTTTCGCCATCTAATCAAGATCTGGATTTTGTAGCTCAGAACTGGTAGCCTTAACTGAGGATTAATATGCGGCCTGTTGGATCCATGTGAACTTTATTTTTTTTCCTCTATACTCAGCAGGCTGGGAATAGGAAAACAAATAGGCCCCAAAGGCAAAATTAAAACTCATTGCTATGGGATTGTCATGAACCAGCAGGAGTTTAGCTAAGCAACAATCTGGTATCATTAGCAGTTTCCTGTTAACATTTCTGATTCAGAGTTCATAATTCTATTATAGTTGCTAATGAAATAAATGGGCTGCAATTGAATTCTTAATGTTTTTTTAATTAAAAATGAACAAAATTAGCCTTGAAAACATGTCTTTCTAGTTACAGTGAGTGACAGACAAACATCTTTTTTTTCTTGCAGATGTTTACTTCATAGCAACTTTATCGTTCTTATGGAAGGTGACTGTGATCACCTTAGTCAGCTGTCTTCCTCTCTATGTCCTAAAGTACCTGAGACGAAGGTTTTCTCCCCCAAGTTATTCAAAACTCACCTCATAGGAGCAAGGACTCGCTTTTCTTCTTTGCACAGTACTTACAGACTCAGTAAATGTGTATTCGTCATCGAACAATGTCCGACGGTTGGATAAGCAATCTGCACTGGCTGGGGAATACTGCTGAAAGTCTGAATAATTCAGTTAAAACAAAAAAACCTTACAGTCAAACGAAGCAGAGAAAACTTATATCAGTGATCCAGTTTTGTCACTTTGTATTTATCAAACTGAAAACAAATGCATGTAACTTGGAAGAAGAAGAAAAACTGCCTGTGATGAGTCTGCTTACCTGGAAAGTGCTGAGTCAGCTGTTGACATGACAAATTTTTCAAATGTATTTTTCTTTTTCTAGGAGCTGACTTATTTAATTTCCTCATTTTTATTGCTACTTATCTTTTGAGTTCAGGTCCTCATTGTAAACATTTTCTGTGCCTTGGCAAATGCTTTCAACTGAGCATCATAACAGTGTAGTTAACAGGCCACTGTACATACCTCATGCCGGGCTGATCTCTTTGATGTGGTCCTACTCAAATCCGAGTTACTGATTTCTATTGGCTACAATTTTCTTGAATTTTCTGCAAAGCAAAAAAAAAAAAAGGAATTTACAGATGAGTCTTTCCAGCTAAAACATGTTGCGATGGTTTTCAAAAGGGAATGTGTCTTTTTCCTAAAGAGAAAATTATTGAAAAGTTTTGGTAGGAGAAGAATATTGTAACTCCATATCCTAATTCTGCAAGGATAAACTGCGCATTTATTAACACTAAGGTAAGAGTGGAAGATCATTTCAGAAAAGAAGAACAGTCAGAAGCTTAGGTTTCACCCTGCAGTTCATCTTTCCTCTGTGACCTTTTCTGAGGTTTTCTACAAAGCAGCTAAAAACAAGCCTGGCTGCCAGAACCAAAGAGAATAAAGGGAATGAAATAATTGACAGGTAAGGAAAAGGATCAGAAGTTAGGGATGAGCAAGGCTTTAGGAGTTATTGAACAAATGTTTGTGCCAAGCACACCTCTGAAGCTACTTCACAAAGCAACAGACCTTCAGTCACATTGTCATTTTGGAAGAGGCTTTGTACACTCCTTCTGGCCAATGGAACTTCCAGATTCGGACTGACGCACAATATTTTAGAGAGGTGTTACCTGTATGACTTGATCTGTTCTGTCCAGGCATAAATCTCCTTATCGCTGCCTTATTGGATATTTATTAAGAATCCCTATTAAGAATAAATTCTTAATGCTAATTCAGGCATGCACATTCCCCAATTCACATTACATTATTTTCTCCTAGAACACAGGTTTCATTAGACTTTCCCCCAAGCATTTGGTGGTGATTATAAATGTGCAGTTGTGTTCTCACTCTGGACAAGAAAAAGTGGGGAAAACACTCCACCAACATTGACAGGGCAAACCACTAGAATAAAAAATGAGACCAAATCCTAACTCCCTATTAGCACTGATGATGTTACTTAGTTTGGGTAATGAAATGTCTGCAAGAAAACAAGCTCAGAGAGTACCAATGATCCCTCATCTTCCTTTCCATTTTCTTCACTGTCTTGTAACAAAGGAAAAATTCTCCTTGCAGAGCAGATTGCACTACGACTTGAACACTGCAGAACTCAAGAGTTTAGATTTAATGTAGGAAAAATGTGATATAGAATATTATCCTCAGCTAAAATGTTATACTCAGTTGAGTTGAGCAAATCCTTTGAACTCTGGTGCTTCATGTTGGACAGAGTATTTCAAGTGGGGTATGGCCAGGTAAAGTAGAATGGAAAAATTACTGTCATGATCCGGACTCTGTATTCATGTTAATGCACCCCAAGATAAGATTTGCCTTTGTAGCAGCTGCATCACACAGTTGTCTCCTGTTTAATTTCTGGTCAATAAGGACATCCAGCCAGGTCTTTCCCCATCCTATACATGCACCTTTCACTTTATTTTTCCAGATGCAGAATTTAACATTTCTCTGTGTTAAATACATCCTCTTCACATCAGCTCATTGCTTAAACCTGATTAGATATTTTGAACTTTATTTAGTTCCTGAAAAGTATTAGCTGATAAAAAATATTGAACAGCACAGAGCATTGTGATAGCACTCGACTTGAAACTTTCATTCAAGCTGAAATTAGTCCATATTGAGCATGGTCATTGACACAATTTTGAGTCAATATCATCTAACCCAGATGACAGGCACAAAATAGGAATTAAGAATTTCTGATTTCTCATCATCATCCATTAACAATTTATCACTTCCCTGCTATACTCTGTTCTTTGTCACTTCTGAATCTTCAGTGTATTCCCAGATAAAGTTGAATTTCTGGGTGCACTTGGGACTATTCTTAAAATCAGTGGGGCTTGTGTGTAAAAAAACCTGTGTGCATTAGAATGGGCTGTAAAGGGCACTTTCCTTTATATGACTGAAGGATCCAGGAGTAGAATGGTATTATCCTAATGTTGTATAATGAAAGAGACTGCAAATAAGTAATTAATTGGTTAATACAAGTGAGATAGCTGTTCTTTTTTTATTTTCCCTGCTCGAAAGGGGATAGGCATATATTTGAGGAAAGGGTACAAAGCTTGCATTATGTTTTACCTTCTGTAACCACTTCCTTACAATAACTGTTATTTTATTTTATTTTTATAAAGTTTTGTTGCTTGTATAAAACAATTTCCCCCAATTAGCTACCTTTCATTTCTGTAGGAAATTTGGGAATAGTGAGAGTTGAAGTTTGGCATCTCTGGAGAACACAGAATTGGGGAAAGTTGGTGTAGGGAATTATGTTAATTCTGAGTGGTATCAGCCATTATCCATCCACTGCACAAAGGATTTACAGGAACAGAAAGATAACAAGGAAGCAAGACTTCTACTAGAACTGTTTAAACATTGGGACATTTTGATAAATGCGCATGTTCTGTAATGGTGTTAATTTCACATTGAGAATAAGACTGTGGTCATTATGTAGATCAGGAATAATTGGTGATGAACCCATGATGGAAAGCATTGGGGTGAGTAAACTGTTCTCCAGAAATAGTTGAACTATAGTTTTCAATAGCTCCAGATGGCATGGCCATTGGCTGGTGGTGCAGTGGTTAGAATGCAGTACTGCAGGCTAACTCTGCTCACAATCTGGAGTTTGTTCTTGATGGGTCTCGAGGTTGACTCAGCCTTCCATCCTTCCGAAGTTGGTAAAATGAGGACCCAGATTGTTGGGGGCAATTATGCTGATTCTGTAAACCATTTAGAGAGGGCTATAAAGCGCTATGAAGGGGTATATAAGTCTAAAAGCTATTGCTATTGCCAGCTGGCACAATTTGTTCATGAGTTGAAAATTTGTAGATTTCCCTCCCTGGATTACATCAGCCCTAATTCAGTTACCACTTGCTGATGCTAAGGCAATACTTTCACATCATGGCTTTTTCATGCTGCGCCTGATTAGAAGACTATTGGATAACATGAAGACAAAAGTGTTCTCTGGGCACTTAAAGTATGGAAATGTTTCATTTGTAGGCCATTCTTTCATTTGGGCCTGTGTGGGGACTGCCTTTTTCCCTTTGCCTTGTCCTCTTGATAAATGATGCCGTCATCTCCAGTGCCAAATGTCCTTTGGACTCAGATATATAACCTCTGCCTGAGGGCCACACAATGCTTTATGCAGTGTGTCATGGGCCATGCTCCAAAATAATTTAAATTCTTCCCCATTCCAAAAAGTAAATAAAATACCAAAAATCCTGGGTTGGGCTCTGTGATCACAGATGGGAATGCTACCTACAGTCTCCCAGTCATAATTTTTATACTTCTACTTTGCAACATGCATATTATGCATGAGTAATATAATAAGTAAATGTCTCAGAGGTAGATCCTTATACAGGTGGTCCTCATTTAGTGACCATTTGTAGTTCTGACAATAATGAAAAAGTAACTTTACAACCAATCCTCACATTTAAGATTTTCACAGGTCTGTAAAGCATAAGGAAAGCTGAAGTAAGATCCTACAAACAATAGCAGTTACATTTAGCAACCACTTCACTTAACAACTGAGTTGCTGTTCCCATTTGTGGATACTAAACAAAGACTACCTGTATATTAGATACTAAAGCCAATGCTGTCTTACTAATGTAAATCCAAGGAGAGGAAATTGTCTGCCCAATAATTCCATTTCTGGAGCAGATTAGAAAGGGTATTTAATAAGCCTCCAAAGAATATGTCAGATCAGAAGAGCAACACAACACATCCGGCATAGCCTAATTAGGTACAGAAAACTAAGACTGAGGATTAGGGTTGGATTAAAACTCATGCCTGAGCATTTAAAATGGAACAGTCTAGGGGGGGGGGCTGTGTTTCATTTTCCTTGAAACATTTAAACTCATGTTTGAGAGTATTCCAAATCTTTCTGTTAATTGTGATCAGGTTGTTTGCCATCACCTAATTAAATATGTATTTCCAAGCTTTTCAAATGTAGAGCAGAAAACCCTTCCCTTCTCTCCTGTCTTGGAAGTATGAATCCCCATGTCAAATTATTTGTGATGCTAATGTTTTGTACTTGTCCTTTTGTCAACTGAGATGTGCATATTCTTGATCAAAGAGAAATATACATGCAAATTGAGTAATTGTCATGTGCAGTTCCATGTTGCAGATGTGTAAGAACTTTTAAAAAGGGAATGGTTTAAAACAAGTTAATAAATTTTAAGGAACTTCATACCTATTTGGGCAGTGCGAATTGATATTCTCATCATCAAATCATGAAACTTCTTTGTTTCTGTGCTGCATTCAGAAGCGAACATGAATTTAGCACAACTATCATTACTGGTTGATTATAGTCATGAAGAAAAATCCCCTTCTTTACAACAGTATTACAACAATTTACAACCAGTATTAGATACACGTGTGCAATGGATAAAATAACAATAGGCATGTAATAGTAAGGCTGAAAGAGGCTCAAAGGGAATGCTCTAATCAGACTGAAACTAGTGTAGTTAGGAGAAATTCACATAAGGAAATGCGTCCCAAGAGAAGAGTTGAATGGAGCTAGGTAACTGGACTCAAAGCTATCCAATTCTTCCACTGTGTAGTCCTGTAGGTACCTGCCATGTTTAATCAGGAATTTTCAACCTATTTTATAATTTGTATGAAATCATTTTTAAAATTGAAATTATTCCACACAGTTGCTTTAGAAATACATTTTAATTTTTTTAAAAAAAAATATTAACCTATATAGTAGAAAATAAAATCTGCCATTCAGTTGTGTCCCATTCTTAGAGATTGCCTGAACAAATGCCTGCAGTTTTTTTTGGTAAGGTTTGCCATTGACTTTTTCTTAAGGCTGAGAGAAAGTGACTGGCCCAAGGTTACCCAGCTGGCTTTGTACCTAAGGTGGGACTAGACCTCACAATTTCCTGGTTTCTATTCTGTTGCCTAAACCGCTGCAGCAGGGGTGTCAAACTGCTGGCCCACAGGCCAGATACGTCATGACAAAACTGCAACCACCACATTGCCAGCAATGGAAAAAGTCACGATACATCGCAACACATCACGTGACATTGTGAGTTTGACACCCCTGCACTACAGCAAACTGGCTCTGACTAGAAAATTAACTCAGGTGTAGCTAATGGTCAGGTGTTGCTAATCAAGCCAATGACTAAATTTGGAAAAACTAAGCAAGATCAGATCTAGTTAATACCTGCATGACGGACAACCAGGAATTACCAGGGTCGTAAACAAGAGTAGGATATAACATCTCATTGCCAACAAAATAAGATGAAATCATCAGGAATCAAGTTTGATGTGAAAGAGACTTGACTTTAAAATGGCAAAGAAACAACTGATATTTTGTTCATTAGTTTTTGACTAGCACCATCACCCCATGTACAATTATTTAACTCCTTGGGCATCATTTTTAATACCAGAGCCTAAGTATTTAGTCTCTAACTAAAGTGCTTATCATTTTATGATGATAAAATGAAGCCTACAAAACAGGTTGATAATGCTATGTCAAAATGGCAATAGAGGTCACTTGCTCAAGGCATGCCTACACTTGTCAAGTCCGTTTCTTGGGAAAGAAGAAGCCTAATATTAAATGTTAAGTCAAAAGAAGGAGAGAATCTGCAGAACTGAATTAGAAAGAAAAAGTGGACAGGATGAAACCTTAGTTTGCACAACACCTCTCTCCACATGAAAGCAATCCCAATCCACAATCAGCTGTATTCATGTGAATGCATCACACACATAACATACACACAAACAGAGAAAGAGAAAGATGCAGACTTGCACACAATGTGAGCCAGAATATTTTATTGCGTAAAAAAAATACAAATGTTCTCATAATAGAGTCTGCATTGAATCTATGCACAGATATACATTTAAAACCAAAACATGTGAAATGCCTTTTTAAAAAAATAAATATTTTAAAACAAACATCTTCAATCCATGATTTTCTGTTAAAAAAGAATGAAAACAGTTGTAAGTATACAGGTCACAGTCAAAGAGGATGGAGTCCTCTAGACAGCAGCAAAAAAACCAACCATTTGAGTTGGAATTATGTTCTAGAGCCATCAATTATCATTTCCATACTGGTGTGGATGGGTCTTAATGTTAGCCTAATGCTTCCTTCCTGAATTTCTCTAGAGTGCAAAGCTTGCAGGATTTGGCCACAAGATGGAGCCTGAGTATTATGGGAGTCTTCTCAAATGTGTGTTTTCTAGAACCAGTTAGTCCCAGAGTACCTAACTGTCCTTCAGTCAAAATTATAAAAGCAGCTATATTTAGTTCAAGGGCTGCTGCAGTGTTTTGGATCTAGCACAGGCTTGTTTTTCCAAATTCAGTCATTTTTCAGTATAGGCAGTCCTCCATCTAAAACCATTCATTTAGTGACTGCTCAAAGCTACAGCAGCATTGAAAAAGTTACTTGCAATCAGTCTTCACACTTAATAACCATTGCAGCAGCCCAACAATCACCTGATCATCATTCGGCATTTGGCAACTGGTATATATTTATGATAATTGCGGCATCCTAGTCAGCTTCCAAAAAGCAAAGTCAATGGGGGAAGCTGGATTTGTTTAACTATTGTGTGATTCACTTAACAACTATGGCAGACAAGGTCATAAAATCAGGCACAATTCACTTAATAACTGTATTGCTTAGCAGTGGAAATTCTGTTCCCAGCTGTGGCCATGAGTCAGTGTGTCTACCTGTAATGAAAAGATCTCTGTTAGCCTGGGTCTTCAAACTTGGCAACTTTAAGGCTTGTGGACTTCAACTCCCAGAATTCCTCAGCCAGCCCTGATGCCTGGCTGAAGAATTCTGGGAGTTGAAGTTCATAAGCCTTAAAGTTGCCAAGTTTGAAGACCCCTGCTGTTAGCAAAAATGAAACAAGGAAGATCTGTTTCCAATGAACTCTGGGAATTCTGGGAGTTGAAATACACACCTCTTAAAGTTGCTGATCTACTCTATACTATACTAACTTCACAAACTTTGGTGTCTGGCATCAAATTACATATGGAAACAAACCAGTTGTGTTTTAGTTTGATATGTGAATGTAGCCTTTCAATGTAATCTTCAGAAGGTGCTAGTTAAAAAAAAAAAGTGAAGAAAGACAAACACCTTACTAGGAGCTATTTGAAGAAAAAAATGAACTATAAGTATAACAAGTTTGGTATAGTTACCAGAACTGGATTTTAAGGAATTTTTGGAGAGGTCCGTTGTAACTTTGAATGGTTGCTAAGCAACTGTATACAAACCTTGCTCTTAGAACTTAGGTAGCTGATGGAAAAAGGGATCTAGAATTAAGATACCTGATTAAAAAAATATTTTAAAAGGGGCAAAAGAGTTCATAAGTCTCCACAGCCATAAAAGGATTTTCACAAGTACTAAATCTTGGCAATCAGTGCAATAGATAAGCATTTATTTTGGTTTTGCTACTCTTTATAATAAACCTCATTCATTCAAATGGTTAGTTATTAAAGTCATTTTTGTTGTACTTGTCATGAATAAAATTAGTTTTCTTCTGTTACGTTCAGGGATGGTTCTACTTTTTGTTTTCATGAGGGAAAGAAGACATGTCAAACACAAGGCTCGGGGGCCGGATACGGCCCGCGAAGTGGTTTCATGTGGCCCACGAAGCCATCCTGGAAACAGTGAGGGAACGGCCCCTCTGTCTTGGCCTTGGCCCATGCCAGCTGGGAGCCAATGTACAATTTTGTGGTGGCCATCTATGCTGAAACACATTCAGTCTTAGCTCCATAAGCCCCCCCCCCCCGATGGCCTGAGAGGAACAGTGAGGCTCCTCCAGTGGACCATGCCTTGGCACTTGCCCTGGTCCCACCCCCTTCTGCCAGAGACCCTCAGATCTGTCCCACTCCTGCCCAGGCCCCCACAGGCACCCTTGATGCGAATGATGTAGAGCTGGCCACGCCCACCCAGTAGGCCACACCCACTCCATCCACGCCCACCCAGTAGGCCGCACCCACCCTGGCCACACCCACCCGGCCCCCTGAGGGCAACCGCAATGCTGATGCGGCCCTCAATGAAATTGAGTTTGACACCCCTGCACTAGGTGTAGTAGCCAAAGCAGCAGAATTGATTTCCCACAATATTCAAGACACCAATGTTTTTAAATTTCAGCAACTATTAGGACGCACAGACTTCAACTCTGAAAATTCCCTGACTTCCTGGGGAATTTTGGGAACTGAAGTTGCAATTTACTAAGGTTGAGAAACAGTGCTCGAAAATCCTATTTAGTCCCCCTCCTCAAAAAAAAAAAAAAACCACACCCACACACACACACACACATACACACACATACACACACGCACACATATACGGACAAAAAGTCTAAAACATTCTGGGAAAATAAAATGATTGCCAGATTGTAATAAACTGGGTTGATTATAGAAAATGAAACATCCCATTGCACACAATAAGAGAGAAATGAGCAGCAATAACAACGGGCAAGCAGGAAAACCCAGCAAGAAATGTGTTTATTTCAGAACAAATGGGACTAAATTTAGTTCCCTAATTCAGTTTTTTGTTTGTTCCGAAGCAAGGGGATACCTCCAGAACGAACAATAGAAATCAATCTGTCTGCATATAGGTCTGTCCAGCCCAATCAGTGCTGTCTGCTCTGGCAGTGAGACAAGCAGTTCTTTAGCCAAAGCCCTGAATATACCACAGGTTGAACATAAAACCATTTTCACATAATCCATATGTTGTGCCACCAAGTAGCCGTCCCTTCCTTATAACAAATGTTTGTAGTTTTTCAATATTTCACCAGTCCTTCCAGTTAAATTCTCATCGTTTACCCCCAGCCCCAGTCCCAAATACCTGTAACTATTGCAACTATTGACTCAGGAGAAGATTGGAGAATTGAATGTGTTGAGAGAAGAGGCATACATTTTATAATTACAGTAAGTCCTTTTCCTCCAAATGTTCCTAATTTCCCATTTGTAAATGAGTTACATAAGTTTTGTGCAGTGAGACATTATTATAAAAAGCTGTCCTGAATTAATGTTGAAATGTAATTAAAAGCTAGAAATAGTTTTGGAGAGACATGGGGAATTTCTACAATAGTTTTTCACACAAACATTGCACAATGTTAAAAATGTCATAGATTTCCGTTGGATTACAGTTCATTTTTCATGTGGCTGTGGGCTGTAGAAAACTTTTTTGTGGAGAAAAAAGCTCTGCAGAGTTGTCAGTGCTTTTGGAGC